TCAATTAAGGTTACTGTTACAGTAAAACATCAATTAAGGTTACTGTTACAGTAAAACATCAATTAAGGTTACTGTTACAGTTAAACATCAATTAAGGTTACTGTTACAGTAAAACATCAATTAAGGTTACTGTTACAGTAAAACATCAATTAAGGTTACTGTTACAGTAAAACATCAATTAAGGTTACTGTTACTGTTACAGTAAAACATCAATTAAGGTTACTGTTACAGTTAAACATCAATTAAGTTACTGTTACAGTAAAACATCAATTAAGGTTACTGTTACAGTTAAACATCAATTAAGGTTACTGTTACAGTAAAACATCAATTAAGGTTACTGTTACAGTAAAACATCAATTAAGGATCAATTAAGGTTAATAAAACATTTAAGGTTACTGTTACAGTTTGTTACTGTTACAGTTAAACATCAATTAAGGTTACTGTTACAGTAAAACATCAATTTTAAAACATCAATTAAGGTTACAGTAAAACATCAATTAAGGTTACTGTTACAGTTAAACATCAATTAAGGTTACTGTTACAGTAAAACATCAATTAAGGTTACTGTTACAGTAAAACATCAATTAAGGTTACAGTAACACATCAATTATCAATTAAGGTTACTGTTACAGTAAAACATCAATTAAGGTTACTGTTACAGTTAAACATCAATTAAGGTTACTGTTACAGTAAAACATCAATTAAGGTTACTGTTACAGTTAAACATCAATTAAGGTTACTGTTACAGTTAAACATCAATTAAGGTTACTGTTACAGTTAAACATCAATTAAGGTTACTGTTACAGTTCAATTAAGGTTACTGTTACAGTTAAACATCAATAAAGTTACAGTAAAACATCAATTAAGGTTACTGTTACAGTAAAACATCAATTAAGGTTACTGTTACAGTTAAACATCAATTAAGGTTTGTTACAGTTAAACATGATTAAGGTTACTGTTAAGTTAAACATCAATAAGGTTACTGTTACAGTAAAACATCAATTAAGGTTACTGTTACAGTAAAACATCAATTAAGGTTACTGTTACAGTAAAACATCAATAAGGTTACTGTTACAGTTAAACATCAATTAAGGTTACTGTTACAGTAAAACATCAATTAAGGTTACTGTTACAGTAAAACATCAATTAAGGTTACAGTAACACATCAATTATCAATTAAGGTTACTGTTACAGTAAAACATCAATTAAGGTTACTGTTACAGTAAAACATCAATTAAGGTTACTGTTACAGTAAAACAGACAAATTCTATTAACCTTTTTTAGCTGGTTGTCAATTATAGAATTTGAAATATGAAGTTTTTCCTAAGAACACATTTGCTTTTATTAACATATTTGGTAATTTTCATAGTTTTTTTTTTTAATTGAGTAGAAATAACTACATCTATATAATTGTTTTGTGTAAATGAAATGTTAAAGGTAAATAACAAACATTTGTTTACTTTTGTGATGAATGGTTTGAGGAGTTGGGGTGAAGGTTGAGATGGGCGGTGGGGATAGACAGTGGGAGTAGGGGCATGGGGTGGGGTTCTGATGATGGAAACGATATGCTAATTGGTGTGATGTTTAACTGTAGGGGGCCTGAATTTTTTACCCGAGATTTCAACCTCGATAAGCAATTTGTTTGATTGCTGGTATTTTAATCTGAACCTAGAGATGAACTCTGTGACATTGAATGTTGGTATTTAAATTTCAACATATAAATGCTTTTATTGTGATTTAAAACCTTTTTATATATAAGCAGTTGTGTTTTGATAGTATGTAAAAAAAATCAAATGTTAGAAAGTCATTAAACAGCGATCAGTAAGAACGGGTGACGATAGGTTATACTGATGTAGTCAGTTCTGTCTGGGTGGCAGGATCCTACAATAATATACCTAATCAGCATCCTGTATTACCCTGGCCGCATTATTTTACCAGGGATTTGTGGTGTCTTTTACCAGGGATTTCTGATGTCTTTTACCAGTAATTTGTGGTGTCTTTTACCAGGGATTTCTGATGTCTTTTACCAGGGATTTGTGGTGTCTGTTACCAGTAATTTGTGGTGTCTTTTATTAATAATTTGTTGTGTCTTTTACCAGGGATTTGTGGTGTCTGTTACCAGTAATTTGTGGTGTCTTTTACCAGTAAGTTGTGGTGTCTGTTACCAGGGATTTGTGGTGTCTTTTACCAGTAATTTGTGGTGTCTCTTATTAATAATTTGTTGTGTCTTTACCAGGGATTTGTGGTGTCTGTTACCAGTAATTTGTGGTGTCTTTTATTAATAATTTGTTGTGTCTTTTACCAGGGATTTGTGGTGTCTGTTACCAGTAATTTGTGGTGTCTTTTACCAGTAATTTGTGGTGTCTTTTACCAGGGATTTGTGGTGTCTTTTACCAGTAATTTGCGATGTCTTTTACCAGTAATTTGCGATGTCTTCTACCAGTAATTTGTGGTGTCATTTGCCAGTAATTTGTGGTGTCTTTTGCCAGTAATTTGTGGTGTCTTTTACCAGTAATTTGTGGTGTCTTTTACCAGTAATTTGTGGTGTCTTTTGCCAGTAATTTGTGGTGTCTTTTGCCAGTGATTTCTGATGTCTTTTAAAAGTGACTTGTTATGAGCCTGACACATAGTGAATATGTTGATTTAAATTATTTGTAATATGGATTTTTTCATTGTCTCAGTACTCTTTTGAAAATGAGATACAATGTTATAGTTAACTGGATGCCTGACTAAGTAACAATGATGGACTGATTAATAGGTGTCCATCTTTTTTGTGTATCACTAAAAAGTGCTCTAAATCAAACAGAGATTGTCTGTTTCTTTGGAGCACCAGTGTTGTCCTCAGTTACATTGGTTAGCCAGTCAGAATATGACCTGTCTGGAATATGATACTATATTACTGAAATCTGTCAGCCTTTGACTGGATCCATCATGGCAAAGTCACATGACTTAAAATGGACAATGAAATGTGTATTGATTGACATCATATGGTATGTAAATAATGATAATCATGTTCTTCCTGTTAAGAGATCTCAGTTGTAGACACTAATTGTGTTTATTACAGTGTTTATTTGAAAATCTTTTTTTGGGGTCAGTTTTAATCAACAAGATCAAACAGCCTGTTATCAGGTAAAAAGAGAAAAACAAAATTAAAAATTCAGAATCATTATTGAACAATTTGGTTGGCTTTTCACTGTTAGGACTTGATTTTATGATAAACCTACTTTCAACCTTGTGTTATTTTTTAACATTAATGAAGAAAATGATAATATAACGTAGTGCTGAAGTAAACTATGTTTATCATTAATATACTTTTGAACTTTGACCTCTAACCATATTTGAACTTTAACATTTTACTAAAGCCAGATGTTGACTCTTTAATGAATGATTTCTTATCATTTTTTATAGCAATTGGCCAAATATCATTACCCTTTGAATCTAGGTTATTGAAAAGAAGCCATTTTAAGATTTCAACACACTTGACCCTTTGATTGTTAAAGTAGGTTGAGGTTATTTTTATTGCCAAACTTGAGAGTCATTGACTAGAGTGTCCTACATATGAAATATCAAGGCTTTAGACCTTGAAGAACTTGAAATATTTTTCAAAGTTTGTTACCCTAAATAGCGATTTCAATTTTGATTCCTATCAAGAAGCAGAATTTTCAAAGTTTTATGAATACATTCAGTAGCAATTGACCACAGTATGACAAAATTTCATCACTGTGTGCCTCTTGGCTATTGAGAGAATGCTATTTAACAATAATAACAAAATTAGCCTCTTGGAAACAGGTCAAGGTAATATATATTATTAAACTTGATAGTCAATGACCTGAACACATTATAAAATATCTAGCCTCTAGGTCTAGTAGAATTTGAAGAGAAATTTTTGAAAGTTTGTATCTCAGAATTTCCCATTTGAACTTTGACCCCTACCAAAAATCTGAAGTTGGCACTTTTTACAAAAAAAATCTTTCAAGAGAAATGCTATTAATTTTTTTATCTTTTACATTATATCAAATGATGAATTCATTGTGGTCAGCATTTAATGAGACATTGCAGTTAGAGGTAAAATAAGATATGTCTTGGTGGCCATTTTGTTTTTCTGATGAAGTTGAAAATGTCACTAAGTAGCAGAGGAGATCAAAGGCAATGTTTGTCATAATGATTACACAAAATTAAGTGCTATAAGTCAAATATCAAATTGTCCAAATTGTAAAAGAAAAAATTCAAAATAGTGTACAACCTTAATGACAAATAGTACAGAGAGACTGAAGACATCAAATTCATTGCATTGACATCTTCTATTGACGAGTGCAAAATGTGGGATGCAATAACATGTTAAATACATATCCTACCTGTGATCATATCTTTCACCAGTTGAAAACTTCAGAGGTCACAAAAGATAGAAGAATAAGAATATGAAACATAACAAAAAAACACAAAAATGCTGAAATTTTTATATAATTTACACATGACAGATTTCACTCCTTCAAGCCTGACTTTAAGAAAAATAAAATAATTAAGTCATTTTGTATTCAAATTGAAATGCATTGGAATTTTGGGGTTTTGAAATATTTTTTCTCACTGAAAATTTAAAAGTTTAAAATGGATATTCAGACTAGGTTGATGTTTATCTAACTTTAGCAAAGGACAACACAATAGATCTAAGTGTTCAAAACGTTACAATAACATTGCCGGATTAGATTTATGGTAATGTAATGATACTTGGCTAGGTTGTGTTACAGATAGTAAGATTGATGTTAAAAAGTGGTCAAGCCCTCGTTTAGAAATTCACCAGGAAAATTGTGTTACTGTACAAATATACCAAGGTCATAAACACCTATACAAATTTACTGTTTCTATAAGAACATACGATGGTCGTAAGTACCAATATTAACCAACAAGTTCAGTGCAGGCAAAAAGTTTAATAACTATACAACATGTATACACAATTGATAATGCTGAATATTTACTGATTTTTCTGATTTTTTTTCATTCAGCTGGAAAGTCTGAAGCAGGAATATGAGGCCCAGCTGGATCACCTTCGAGAGCAGTTAGCAACAGAACGAAAGAAACATGATCGTGAGGAGACGGACCAGCACATGCCGAAAGCATCCTACAAAGAGGTACAGGGCCTTGATTTAACTGATAAATGCTTTATTACTAAGGGATATAGTAAATGCATTAAAGCTGTCAGTTTTCTGAAAGAATAATTATGGCACAGTTGTGACAAATTGAATGCTTCTGATGTGTTCCCTTTTACATTTGTCCTGTCCCTCTCTGATTAAGCTTCACTCCATCACCTTCATTTCTTTTTAAGTAGATGAGGGTGAATCATGACACCAAGAACACCTCAGTTTTTCCATAATTTTGGATTAAAAAATCAAGGCCAAAGAAATTTTTTTAATGTGACATTTAAATTTGCATTAACAAGTATAGCAGGACGGTCAGTATGACAGAAATGTTCTCAAAGTTTGACTGCAACAGACCAATTCAAATATTAGTTACTCTTTTAGGTATTGCAGATGGCTTGGTTTGCAAAAAACCAATAAATGATTTCAATTTCTTAATTTCACATGCCTAATCATTTAAACAAACACTTCAGTGATCTCTGGTATTTATCCTTTGATGGTGAAAAATAAAGATATACATCATGGTCTTTGATTATCTGCAGTTATTTTGATAGCGATAGAGATATGTTAGAAGACAGGATGAACTTTTCTCCTTTTGGATAATTAATCTGACTTGATTGCCAGACTTTGATGTAACTAATCTGATCCAACATAATTTAGATATTTTTAAGTCTGTCATTAACAATGAAGACATGCAGTAACACAGCAACATTATATTATCAGTTGTCTGCTGTAGCATAGCAACAGTATGTTATCAGTTGTCTGCTGTAGCATAGCAACAGTATGTTATCAGGTGTCTGCTGTAGCATAGCAACATGATGTTGTCAAGTGTCTGCTGTAGCATAGCAACTGTATGTTATCAGGGGTATGCTGTAGCATAGCAACAGTATGTTATCAGGTGTCTGCTGTAGCATAGCAACAGTATGTTATCAGGTGTCTGCTGTAGCATAGCAACAGTATGTTATCAGGTGTCTGCTGTAGCATAGCAACTGTATGTTATCAGGTGTCTGCTGTAGCATAGCAACAGTATGTTATCAGGTGTCTGCTGTAGCATAGCAACAGTATGTTATCAGGTGTCTGCTGTAGCATAGCAACAGTATGTTATCAGGTGTCTGCTGTAGCATAGCAACATGATGTTGTCAAGTGTCTGCTGTAGCATAGCAACAGTATGTTATCAGGTGTCTGCTGTAGCATAGCAACAGTATGTTATCAGGTGTCTGCTGTAGCATAGCAACAGTATGTTATCAGGGGTATGCTTAAGCATAGCAACAGGATGTTGTCAAGTGTCTATATTAGCATAGTATAATGATGTCAATTTGAACTCGTTCAATTTCTGTGAATGATAAATTTTAAACTCCAGACCACTGACCACTTGCGACAAGGCCTCGGTAGTGACCAACAAGCTGAGCTTGACCATGCCATACAGTCCATTGAGGACATGCACAAGAAGGAGATGGACATTGCCCACCAGCAACATGTGGTCAGTACACAGAAGAATTATAAAAAAAAACTTTATTTAGATCTCTATCTCCACTTCTAATTATAATTAGCTCACCTGGCCCAGAATTCATTAACTTGCAACAAAATTCTGTTAACTACATTCAGTGGCAATGTTAATATTTGCAGGACGATATCAACCTACAGGTGAAAGCAATGCGCCTGACCTTAGAACAGATCTATACAAGCCAATTAGACCTGGTGAGGGCAGATCTGGAAAACCAGCATAGCCAATCAATGGACACTTTACGAGAGAATCTTACTAAGGAACATAAGTCAGAAATCAATCGTCTGGAAGCTGATTGGTCAGCTCAAATGGCAGAGCTGGAGGAGGAGCATTCAGAAGAACTTAACAGGTCTCTACTAGAGGATGCTGTAGGTAAGTGGTATAAACTTGACCTTGCCTGTTATCTTCTGTATTCAGAGCCTTCCTGTGTTTGGAGTTTGTGGTTTTTTATGAGGGGATTGATTTATAAAAGTGGTTTGTTTGTTCAAAGTGAATATAAGTATTGAAGTCTTAGCTCTGATATCATTTAATCTTTTAATAATAAATTATATACAGTTGTACCTTCATGAAGTTTTTCCAGTTGAAATTTGGGGATGACATCAGCTTGGCAATTTGATTTTTTCAACCTGAAATTAAGCATTTGTTTAGACTAGATAACATCTGCTTTTCAACTAAGTTTTCCACATGAAATTTAGTATTTGACAGAGTTTTTTGTGAATTAAACTCTGGATGTGAAAATACGTGGTAATTATCTATAAAAGTGGGGATGACAACTGTAGCCATGATAACGTCTCCCATTACAACTAGACTATATACAATCTGAAGTGGTATCGACTTGTGTTTGTTGTAGTGATTTTGCATGTTCTGTGTGATGGACTGTACTAGACTGTATACAGCCATGGTTTCTCTGGATAACCATTGTCATTGTAGGCATATATCTGTCGTGTCTTTACATAAACATTTTTGGTGACTTCTATTATGGTTCATATATTGCCATTGTTTCATGTGTGACTGCAATAACAAATACTTAAATTAGTCAATCCAAAAGATGGTTTAATTCATTTCATTTATTTTTTTCAACCAGATTTTTTTTTATCTTATTAAGTGTAATTCTTTAAAATAACTTTAGAAATCTTGGCTACCTGGCTTCGTATTCTTAATGCAAGTAACATTTAAAATCAACAATGAATTGACCTTTTGGGTTAACACTTTTGTTGGGTACGTCATTTCCATGACATGTTGGGTTCTTTGACGTCATCAATAATCTGGGCAAAAAATGCTTAGGAAAATTTAATTGTTTAGTATATTATAATTACATTGTTGGAAATTGTTTTTATTGACTAATCATATGTCATGTCACACCTCAAATAAATTAAAAATCGTGTCATGTTGACACACATCAATATATATATAAATTAAACTGATATGACAGACAGATTAATCAACAAATCTGACATATTCAGTGTTTTGTGTAGTAATATCATGAGCTGTATAGATGTATTGAAGTTTTAAACAGTACCTTGTATTTTTATTCTGAAGTAATTACGATACAAATAGGCAAATGGACCTTGAGGCAGTAAGTTCAACTGTTACACATGAGACCATTGGCATTATATGAATTTATTTTTCAATAATACCTGTTATACTGTCAAACAAAACACTTATAAACAACAACCTTAATTTCATTGTTTGTTTACTTTTGATATATTGTCATCAGCCAGGTAATTTTGCAGAACAAATAATGGCAGTATAAAGAGGTTTTTTGTTCTTAGTTTTAAATAAACTACAGATTCATGTCTATGTACAGGGCTTTATTGTGTCCATATTCTTTCAGTAGTTTAGCATATTAATTCTGATCTTCATTAAATTATGTAGTGGTAATGTATGCAATATTAATTTTGCATGTTGTGTCTATTTATAATTAGTAATATTATTTATTTTTTTTTTTTTCTCTATATAACATTTGGTTCAGTAGTCTGGTACATTGAGATGTACAACTGCTACGTCATTTTGACGTGGAGACAAAATATGAGCTGCATACACTGTGACAATGACATACAGACCTAAAGGCGTATATTAACAGAGAATAAAGAGATGTAAAAAAAAAAAAAAAAAAAAGGATGCATGTACCATTTTGTGACATAGAGACTTAAGGATGTATGCTACCTAATGCATAAAGATGTAAAAAAATGTATGCATGAACCATAGTGTTACATAGAGACTTAAGGACGTATGTTCTATGGCTTGATTTTAATTTTTCTTATAATTGTTTTTTGTTTCTTTTGCTGTTAGCAGTATGCATGTTGTTCAAAGTCGTCTTGGTTGTCTGATCAATTAGAGTTGAATGTCAGTTAATGATTAAAGAAAATTAAAAGTCATTAGATATTCATCATTTATCTCTCTCATCAACTTCCTTTGATATGTGTAGATGTCTTCATACTTGTTTTTGAATTTTTGAGAGAAAATGAAAAAGTAAATCTACAAACACAAATTTTCATTTTGTTACCCGCCTATAAATATTCTTGAAAAAGTGCCCACCACCACCCAAAAAGATCTCTATATATATTTATATATATCTATATATATCAATACACAATGCATCTTTAAGTTACATATATAAATATATATTTATATATAAATATGGTGATACCACTTTTAAAAATTTTATAAATTTAATGTCATAGAATGCAGTCACTTAAATCCATGTAGTTAGATATATTTAGAAAAAATGAAAACTATTGACGAACAAATTATAATGCTGATATATTTTGAATGATCAATTTGCGATGTTAGAATTGTTATTTTTTAACAGGAATTCCTGTAAAACTTTGAACAACAATTCTTTGTTGGTTTATTTGTAAATCTTGTGGTTTGGGTCTGATTCTATTCTCTACTATGTAGTTGTGCAGACAATTGAAGTTTCTCTCCCTTGTGGTAAGTCTTCTGTCTCAATCTCAAGCTTTCCAGGGACCTTGATGCCTGTTTGTAAACGGAATTCTGATTGGTCAATTCAGAGAGAAAAAAGTCAAAATTGAAAGAAACATTTTGAACTTGAAAATGTTATTTGATAGATTACTTTGGTAAAAACTGAGGGAAAGGTAAAAATATTTCAAGAGGGAAAAATGCAAGTTTAAAAGTTTCGTTCAAAAATATCTGGTAACAAGGTTTGTTGTTATCATAAATTTTACTGGAATTAATTGGCAAATCAGTGTCTGTTTGCAAAAATTCTCTGGCAGAACAGAAGGTCCAGAATTTCAAACTTTTTCCTTGTGCACAAACATGCATCACTAGCAATTAGTTTTCACCCAATATGTGGAACTTAGACTGACCCATCAAATGATGGAATAGTCTATTGTATTTACAGAGGGGTTATGGAATCATATATTTAGAATTTTATACTATATAGATACAATGAAGATTTAGTTGATAGCTATTTTAGAGTTATTTCCCTTATGTATGTGTTATTTAGCAGCAATACCAAAATTTCTCTATGTATGTCTTATTTACCTAAAAATAGTTTGAAAACATGTTAACATATGCTACGTATATTTTTTACAATTTTCATATTTTAAATCATATTTTCTCATGAATTAATACTATTTTTGAACAATTTGTTTTCTTTTAGATTATCAATTCTTTTATTATATTTTATGATTGTGATATTTGAAAATTATTTCATCTTGAAGACTAATCATCGATATTATCATGACAAGACATTTAAATATATTCAAAGATACTACTAAATTTTATATTGTTTAAAAAAAACTAGAAGCTATTGCTTGAAACTGGTGATGCTGGTTGCTGCTTTCTTTTCAGTTATCAAAAATTTCATCTCTGAATATTTCCTGTTGTAACTTTCAATTTTCTTGATAACTTCACAACGTAACACAATTTGTTGTGAAGAATATGAATTATTTCAACCACTGAAGATTTTCACTGTAACAGATGTGGACACTGATATGGTTTTGATGATATTTACCAAAATTTTTGAAATTGTACCACTACATGAATAATTACCAGTACATATCACAGAATATATTGGTAATGGTTTTATAATCAGCTGGTCATGAAAATTGATCATAAGCTACCTGCCAGATATATATATATAAATATTTATGCATGCAAGGTTGAGGACATTGTAAAATCTATATACTTCATACAATTTTAATTGACTTTTAAATGAAAACCTGTTCTTTTCTTATGATATATACACTGTAACAAATGTTTCCTTTTATATACTGTACATGTAATCAGTGTATTAAACATGATACATGTATATTTAATACAAATACACTACAATATATATATATAGACTCGTAAAATTTATATGCATCATTTCATTTTCAGAGCTAAGAAAAGTATTTGCAAGAGATCTGTGTTAATTCATCTATTTAAATATACATTTATGATAGGGCTAGGCTAGATAAGCTTAATTTGTTTTTCGGGTCCTGTAGTTTAAACATTTATTACATTTAATTTTTTATATTGTATATTTTCAAACCAATGTTGTCAATAATCCGATCCATAAAAGGAATTGTTTAGATAAAAAAACTAAATAATACAAGTGTTTTTACTTATCAACAATTGTTCTATGGAACACTCCTGAAGTTGCAATTTTCTTTAAATGATAAATTTCATGATTTGGCCTTTATGAAAGGCCTCTGAATATTATATATAGAAAATTCTTTCTGTTCTGAAACTGCAGCTTTTTGTTAAACATCTCTCTTTTGCAACTGCTAAAACATACACAATGGGGCTTGCCTTCAATTCATTTCTGATATCTCTCATAGCATTTAAAACTTGGTATCCATTTTCAAATTAAAAAAATTTGTATACAAGTTAAGCCAATGTGTAGGACCTTATTTACAGTTCTGCATCAGTAAAACCTGTTGGATGTGTTTTTCATTGCTGGTTCTGTCGCTGGATTTACATACGACCCATGAATCTGTTACCAGCTGTGTACAAGCTTACCTATACATATCTCGTTAACTGTACCTCAGGTGTTAAACATTTTCCAATATACACCAAGAACATAAATCAAAATATTCGCAGTATATATAAGTATATATACCTACAACAGCCGACAACCGAGTCACATCTATCGTTTAGATTTAAACTTCACCAGATAAACAGATTGACTCTCCAATATTGCTAAGTCAGCTGTGACCAAGATTTAATCTTATAAGACAAGATTCTACCTGATTTGAGAACATTTTGTGATCTCTGTATCAGCTCTTGCAAAGTTTATTGGAACTTGGATATGTTTGCGTTTATTGACATCTCCCCCATTAAATGGCCAAGTTTGTAACTTTGTTCGGTTCTGTCTTTACCAAAGGTTCGGAACAATCCAAGGCCACATACATCCAAAGCCTGAACCAGAAACTCGCCAATGAACACCGCAAACTTCTTGAGGTAAGTCCGAGTCAAAAAAAAAAAGAGAAAAATTTAATCCTGACTTTAAGGAAAATGTATATCTGTATTCACTGAATAGACAATGGTCAAGCAGATTAAGAGGCGAGTAATTCTAGTTAAGTAGAGGATGACCTGAGACGCTTACAACTGTTATTGGGATATAATAAGAGCCATGAGGTCATGTGTCCCATACAAATAATTTCAGATATTTTCATTAGAACACATACATGTGCTATAGATGGGAAACGCTGAGACAAAGGTATTGACAGATACAAATTTTTAAACTTTTTATTTATATTTGTAAACATGTGAGTTAGTTTGCTGGTCTGTGTTAACTGTAAATATGTGTTTTGTTTTGATGGTCTGCTACAGATATGTGTGTGTTGTTTTGATTGTTAGCTGTAAATACGTGTTTTGTTTTGATGGTCTGCTATAGATATGTGTGTGTTGTTTCGATTGTTAGCTGTAAATATGTGTGTTTTGTTTTGATGGTTTGCTGTAAATATAACTTTACTCACTGTTACAGGATAGATACAGTAACTTTACTCACTGTTACAGGATAGATACAGTGACTTTACTCACTGTTACAGGATAGATACAGTGACTTTACTAACTATTACAGGATAGATACAGTGACTTTACTCACTGTTACAGGACAGATACAGTAGCTTTACTCACTGTTACAGGATAGATACAGTAACTTTACTCACTGTTACAGGATAGATACAGTAACTTTACTCACTGTTACAGGATAGATACAGTAACTTTACTCACTGTTACAGGATAGATACAGTAACTTTACTCACTGTTACAGGATAGATACAGTAACTTTACTCACTGTTACAGGATAGATACAGTGACTTTACTCACTGTTACAGGATAGATACAGTGACTTTACTCACTGTTACAGGATAGATACAGTGACTTTACTCACTGTTACAGGATAGATACAGTAACTTTACTCACTGTTACAGGATAGATACAGTAACTTTAATGTAAATTTATTTAATTTAAGTTTATACAAAAGTGAGCTCTTCTTATCCCACCATGACAGCCACAGACTAGTTCAATCTTCTTTTATATATTCCTAATTAGGACTTATGTATGAGGTCATGATTATAAATGGTCTTAATCAGATCACATGACATCATTGACCAATGGTCAGTTGACTTCTTTGTAAGTGATCACTCTAGAGTTAATTAGAGGAGGAGGAGAGCAGTTGGATGCAAGCTCTAAACTTTCTTTGCTTCCATTTTCTGATGCGTGCCCTGTTTTGTTTTAAGTTACGTACATCTTCTTGGGGGCTCTCTTTCAACCATGATGATTATCATCTTGCTTTCAATCGATTTGGCCTTATCAATTCAAGGCGAGTTGAATTTTTTACCCCCAATTCATACTTTGGGCTGATTTTCAGGATTTGAGTTATAAACTAGTTTATAACTTCTCACTGTTACAAGGCTATCCTCCGGTTTTATTAACTAGCTTGGGCCTTCTGAGAGTGCATTACTAACAGGCTCATTATGATGTTAGCGTATAATAGGACAATACAGAGTATCCCCTAAGTTTTGCCAATGTATATAATGTAGATTTGGTTCAGTAATAAACCAAGCTATTGACATCAGACTTTGTTGTTTTGTATAAACTCACTGTTACAGGATAAATACAGTAATTTTACTCACTGGCAGTTTTACTTTCCTCTTGTATGGTGGTATGTAAAATACATATGTTTCATTTTATAGAAAATTTCGGAGGATCTGGGAAAAGGTGCAAACTTTAGAAAGCACACTCCAAAGAAGAAACGGAAGCCAGGAGACATAACTACCGAATCAGAAGATGGGGATACGGAAACAGAGAGTATCCATTCCATGCCTGTTACTGGGGAGGAATACCAACAAGTGGAAGAGCGAGAAAAATTGCTTGATAGGGTGGAAGGTATATGTAACAGCCTTATATTTTCTTAAATTATCTGTATTACTTCATGATAGGGTGGAAGGTACACGTAACAGCCTTATATTTTCTTAAATTATCTGCTTTACTACATGATAGGGTGGAAGGTACAAATGTATGTTATGTTTTCAAAAACCTATGTCTGACTTTGAGTCAGAAATAATTTATGGTAATTTTTTTTTGACACATCTTTATTTTTCAGCAAAATCGCACAATGATGATTTTTTGGATCACAATGTTTGCTGTATTTGTAAACCACAATTAACAAAATGATTTCAGTGCACGAAAATAGATTGCTAAAATATGTATACTTAGAGTATTGGCCCCGGGGCTTATCATAGGATATATATGGTAATACATATATTGTATACTACCATATACATTACTGTTTGAATGAATGTCAGAATTATCTTGCTTTAAAACTTTATATACATAATTCAGTACAGTGAATTTTAGATAGGTATGGAAATGAATTTTCAGTGATGAACAGAATAATTGAAATATATGTTTGGAGAGGGTTTGCCCTGTTTGACATTTCGATTCGAGATAGACCTTCCAGTGTGCTCTGTCAAATAAGTTGTTGAACATGTTATTGTGTCAGTCTGTTTGAACAATTGACCCTGTGGTGATTTTACATCTAATTTCTTATTCAATTGTCACTTTTGGAATAAAAAATCTGTTTAAGAAAATTTTAATGTTGGAACATTTTTTAAATCATTTAAAAGAATTCCACCTTTTTTGGATCAAGACCAATTCTTTTTATGGTATTTTTAAGTTGATATAAAGTCTTTGGAAGAAATATATTGCTAAATGTATTTTTACTTGACCAAAAGAAAAACATGAATCTTTTGTTAACTTACATCTGACATGTCCAAGAAAAATTGATTTGAATACTTTCAGTATACACATTATGATATATATATGTATTGAGCCATTTATGAAATAACATCATTGAGAAAATACAAATTACAGTCACAGCAAAACCCACTGATGTTAGAAATGTTTACTTTGAAAGTGATAATATTTAAAATCTATTCATATGTTATCTACTTCAGTGTTGAATATATTAAATGATTTTTATTTTGGAGTGGAAGTTTTTAAAGGTATATACAAATTTTCTCATGAGAGTTTTGGCATGGTTGATTGAAAGTTACTGAAAAGTTAAAGGAGTTATTTTTCAATTCTTAAATCCAAGTAAGAAGTCAATGTATGTGATGATATTTAAGTTATCTTCATGGGTATGAAGTATATAAGTATATCTAGATCTCTTTTGGATCATAACCATTTAACTACAACTAATTTACTCAGCCAGGTGTGAGACAAGTTCAGAATCTATTGATATACTAATAGCTGTGTGGACATGCTGTTAAGAGGTTGTGAAAACAAGACTACACTGGAAAAATATTTCTACATCTGGTTGATAGATTGATATTAAAGACTGAACTCAAATTCTCTTACTGAAGCGATTTGCCTGATCGAAACACTTATTATATGTTGCTGGTTATTTAGTGTAAAATCTAATGCACAGTGTTGAATACAGTGTATTTGGATAGTAGTTCAATTACTGCTATTGTGTACAAAATGTATGCCATTATCATGATTATTGGCTTCACCATCAAAAGGATTTAGAGCCCCGACATATTAATAAAAAAAAGTCCTCTTGTTGTTACTTTTTTATGTGGTGTATGATATACAAATGTAGCTGTTCAGACTGAGGATTGTATTGAATTATCTCTGTGATAGTCCGTAGAAAAGAAAGGATAGTGTTTCTTCTCTTTCTTAATCATAAGAAGTTGACATAATTGTTTGGGGGGAAAAATGCTCATTAGTAGTTAATGTTCATGAAATTATATACCAAGGGAAATTGCACTTTAAAAAAAAAAGAATGAAAGAAAGAAAGAAAGAAAAAGACAGAGAGAGAGAGAGTACCCTTTATAATTATAAATGACATGAAAAATCTGCAGCTTCACCCTGACACATGCTATTTATTTCTACTGATAATTGTACAGCAATATTCCTGGTGTCACATTAATCTGTTACAGAGATGACTCCAGCAAGAAGTAAAAATATATATACTTATGTATAATTTGTAAGATAACATAACCTTGAACCCTTTATCAACACAGGTTATTTTCAGGTCAATTTTCCCTGTTTCAGATGTACGTGAGACTTTGGAGGCACAGCGAGAGGAGATTGCCACACTCCGTGCTGCGATGCTCACAGAGTACGAACAGCTCTTGGCTCTCCGTACAGAAAGTATGGCATCTCACACACAGGAAGTGGAGAAAATGCAGCATGATATGGAGGACCTCCAGAAGACTTATGAGGAAAAAATTCAGGAATTCCAGGCCAAGGTTGAATCCAAAACAGGTAAGCGAAATCCAATTCATTTCATATATGTACTCTGGCAATCCTACACACAAATGAATCAACATAGGATTTGTGTAATTCCTCCAACCTTTCATCAAGGATGTAAAAGATTTTCTGTGGAATCTGAAGCATTGTGGCAGTAACTGTCCAGTGGCATTTTGTGGTGATTTATATCCGAGAGGCGCTGATGTTTTTATATTATTTAGCCACAATGAGATTTAGGGTTTTGTCTTGTAATCTGCCAAATGAAAACAGTGATGTTCAATTTTAAAGGTTGGTAGATTTTGAAGTTAGTTACTCCGTGATCTGTTATATTAATTGCCAGGTACTATTAAGAAATGTTGTGTTTACATAAGTAGCATTATGAGTATTTGACTTCTCATGAACCAGAACACAATCTATATTTATACACTAGAACATAATATATTTCCATTATTGATGAATGAATCTGATAATCTGATTATGAACCCAAGACTCCAACCTTACTCTCCCTACAAACACATATGGCTTAGTCTGTGTTGAATACACAGCCTAGTTCATTTGTTTTAGAAAGGAATGTGAGGTAGGATCCTGCTATATAGAATATATACCATTTAGTGATCAAATCTTGTGGTAGACTTATTTAGAGGATAGAGGTTATCAGTTGTCATTTACAACAAAGAAAGTCATGTTGATGTTAAGAAGAATCAGGAGGTAGAGATCTTTAGTTTCAACAAGAGGTTTCATTGTAACGGAAAATGACATGGATTTGAAATTTCTTTTTAATTCTCAGATAATCACAGATCGTATTAAATCCTGAAGATTCACTTGTAGAATTAAGGATATGTGATGTGAGATATCTATTCTTTGGAAAAATCACTGAATAGTGAAATGATTTAACTGCTGAAGATGTGAGTTGTCATGGATGAGAATATATTTAGTGAAGTGAATTTGTCTTCTCTGAAACGCATGTATTAACTCATTATCCACATTGTGATCAAATCTTCAGGACATTCAACAAATTCTAGTATTTTCTTTTCATTTGTAGGTGAAGCTCTGCGATTAACTGTCACAGAACAACACAACAAGGAATTAGAAATCCTCCAATCTGTCTACGAACAAAAGCTTCTTGATCTTCAGGAAAATTTTGCCAAAGAAAGAGTACAGCACCAAGAACAGATTGACCATCTCATGTCTCTTCAACAGGAAGTTTCTTCTGCACATGCTCAACAGGAAGCTGAACCTACAGTGACCTCAAGTGATGAAAATGTCAAACCTGATAAAGAATCCTCTAGTCTTCCAGCTGTAGAACTTGTGAGTGAACTTGAATCGAAATTAGCAGAGAAGGACTCAACTATTGAGAAACTAACTAGTCAAATTACTGAAATGAAGGAAAATTATGAAATGAGAGATACAGGTCTATCAAATATTGAAAAAGAATTAACTGATAAGTGCAAAGAACTAGAGGAAATGAAGAAGGTTCTGGTGGAAAAAGACAACAAAATCATTCACTTGAAAAAAGAGAAATGCGAAGTTGAGGAAAAATGTGCTAAAGATATGCAAGAATCAGAGAAAAAATATTCAAGTGAGATTGATGAAATAACATCAAGGCTGATCGATATTCAAGCAGAATTGGATGCTTCACGTGAGCAGGAACGTATGCTTGAGGAACAGTATGAAGAACTACAACATCAACACGTTCTGGCACTTGAGGGTGCTCATGAAGATTTTAACCATGAAAAGCATGTAGAGGTGGGCTCACTTCAGTCAGAATTCCAAGTTCAGTTAGAGATTGAACTGAAAAGACAAGCAGCAGATCTAGCAATTGATCATGAAGAAAAGCTCAAGGAAATTGCCAAAAGTTATGAGGAAAAAATTCAGCAACTTAAAACAGATTTTGATGAAAAATTGGTTGACATTACAACTCGAGCATCTGATGCATCACCAGATGTAGAAGATAAAGACACGGACACAGAAAAGTCAACCATTTTGTCACAAGAAGTTCAGTCGGATGTTGTTGATTCTCGTAATGACGAGGATGCAGCAAGTTCAAAAGCAAGTACTGTTATTGAAGTTTCAAGTGACAAAATGTTGTCGCGTAGACAAGGATCTGATAATTCTATGGAAAGTGATCAGGAATCAGAAATAGCTACTCCAAGAGGAGGTAAAATTTCACCAGAGGTGGGCAGTGCAATGTCATACGAGACCGAGGAGGAATCACTTTCTCAGGATATTACGCCAGGAAGTGACGAAGCAGACACTACACAAGACACCACACAGGATACAGACTCAGAAACAGTGTCCGGGCTTTTCAAGGAAATTTCAAAGGCAAAAGAGGACACACTGTCATTTCTACGAGCGGAGTATGAGCAAAAAATCACTGCACTTGATGATCGTTTACGACAGGTAATGGCTGAAAATGTTGAATATGAAAAAGACATGGAAGCTCTTAAAGAGCAGTTGGAGGATGTTTTGTTAGAGAAAGCAAGTACGGAACAGAAGTTAAGTGAAATGAAAACAAATTATGAAAATAAATTAAAAGATATTGAGTTGTCGTCTCGGACTAGTGATATTGATAAGGTACGGCAGGAGTATGCCAAGGAGTATGATGAAAATGTGTCACAAATTCGACGAGAATTTGAAGAAAAAATGGATTTACTAAGACTTGAGTTACAAGAGAGTTTCGAAACTGAAAAAGATGATCTTGTCAAGGAGCATAGAAAGAAGATGAACGATATTGAGGAGAAGTACGAAAACTTAATTGAAAGTAAGTTGAACAATAAAAATACTTTAATTTTACTTAAACTAAGTTGAGAGAAACTTTTTCTTTTTAATTTTCTTTGAAGAAAATGCTTGCTCTTTCAAAAATTCCAACCTAAGATTTATGTTGTTTAGACAAACTGATTCCTTTGTAGAAGGTAGTGTAATGCCAATTTTTTTGCTGTGGTTCAAATTTGAATTTTGAGATTATAGACAATAATGACAACAACTTTGTAATGCCAGTACAAGATTAGAGTAAAGATTGAGAGATCTCTTTCAAAAATAAGGAACATTTGCAATTGTGACAGATTATGTAAATTCAGTTATTACTCTGGCCTCTTTATATCGTAGTATCATATTGATATATTACATAAAAACTTATTGCACTTTTAAAAATTATTCAAAAATAATTAAGTCAAACTTTTTCAAAAATAATGTAATAAAAATTCAGTAGGCCTGGTGTCTTTTTGTTGCAATGAGCATGTCATTGCTTATGGTGTGTGTGGGCACAAACCTTTACCTTTAATGAATGAAATGAGGGAAAAAATATTACACTGTTTTACATGATTGTTGAAGTGCTAGTGATAAAGATGCCAGACAGTTATCGATTTTCATCATATCTAGAGGAGACTTAGATTCGTTATAATCAATGATTGTGTATAATTGTGCAGGATCAAGTGAGCAGTGAAGGTCAACAGGGGAGATAACTCTACTTACCTGTATGATAGTAAATGAATAATGGCAGAAGGAGATAAATATTTGATGAATATTTAGGGGGAGATAACTGTGATTTGTCATAAATGATAAGTTTGCTGGACAGTCACACAACAAGTGTTAAAAAAGACACATGTACAAATCAGAGGTTTTAAGTTGGAAATACTTAAGGCTTTAGCCATTTCAAGGGAAATAACAATATTTTATAGTAATATTTCCCTTTAAAGAACTAAGGCAAGAAGTGTATTTCATATTATGACAGGTATGTAAGAAATACCATTACTGTTTTCTGCAATAACAGGTGTAAGAAGTGGAGATGCTCCTGAAGTCGCAGATATTGTCCGTGACAGAATTGACACAGAACTGGAGATGGCTAAGACGCTGATGCAACAGGAATTTGACGAAACAATTGAGGCTGAACAGGTCTGTATCTTCTCCATTATAAAATCATTGTGAAGGTCACTTAATACCTAAAAGATCGCTAACTTTAAAAAATGTAATAAACCTTTAAATAACATATAATTTACATTTGATTCAATACAATTTTATCAGGTAGTGAAATAGAAAAGTATTAAAATGTTTGGTGAAAGAAAAATGTACCACTGGTCATAAATGTAAAAAATATTACTATTATCAATTATCTTCGTGATTGTCAGTAAGTACAATAGATTAAAATATTCTCTCTACAGGTGGTAATAAATCAATATATGGTACATAAAGTTTGAAAGTGAAAACCCAAAATATTGCAAACATCTTTCAACATTACAATGAAACCACTTTGGGGACTGGACAAAAGTGGTTTTAATAGTGAGGTGGATCAGATTGACCAAAAAGAACCGTAACTCTGTTTAAAATAAAGAGTATATATATCATTAAGTAATGTACATGTATATAATTCAACAATAATAACTAGGCTGTATATAAAATCTTACATTTTATGAAATGGATGTAGAAAAGATAAAATTGGTGAATAGACAAAAGAATATATATGTATATATTCCCTAGTTTATATCATAATATACATGTATATTTACTATTGTAAACATTGAATAAAAGGAAACAAACAATCCATTTTAAGTTCAACATCATTAATGAAGTCACTATTAAGTCTTTCAACACTTCATTTTTCACATAAAATTTGCAAACACATTATCTCTATCAGTGTATCACTCAGTACAACACATTTTTCTTTTTACTTAAAAAAAAAGAGTCCTGTGCACAATGTTGCGAAGAGCTACGGATCTGGACAGCCTCCTCTTCCATACATCCTTTTTACCGATCGTGATAGCTCATTTCGTTTACATGGTGTCGTCATTGCTTGATAAAGTTCATCGAAGTTTTGTGACAGAGAAAATATGTCGTAAAAAATTTGGAACACATGCATGTTTTTTTATTGTTCAAATGATGTCAAGAGTGTAACAGTTAAAAACCCTCGACAGCGTGTGCGCATGCAAGCAAAGGAATATCGGCCCAAAAGACTGCATAATTCACTTTTGGGTATGCAGGGCTTCTAAGGTGTTTAACAGCATACCTACCAATCTATCAGTATATAATCAAAAAACAATAGATCGCTATTAAAACATGTCTGGCTAGCGGTTACAGACGAGTAAGCCAAGTTAATCCAATAATGATGTTTACTTCGTGTAACGCCACCTGGTGACAGGGTTGGTAACCCATGACAAAAACAATGGTCTTGAACTACACACATGTTTGCGGTTCACTGCCCACCAGATATATAGTTGAAAAAAACGGGACTAAAATAAAGTGCCCGTAATAACGGGGTGGTCGTAATTTTGAGGTGGTCATTAGGTGAGGTTTCACTGTATTTTCTATTCTAATGTCGAACTTATCCCATTTTCTTCAAAAGATATACTATGGCTAATATTGAAGCTAAAACACTCAAATTTGAGTGTTTTGAAATATGTCTGTTTATAATATTAGGGGAATAATATCCAGTGATTTTTTTTCTGCCCTGTTTACAGGCTCGAATGATGGAACAGCAACAACAAGAATTGGATGATTTACAATCGCAACATGAAAGCGATATCGCTGAGTGTCGAAAAACACTTCAGGATCAATTTGAGACTCGCCTCCAAGAATTAGAACAACTTCACGTTGAAGAGATGTCTAAACTGCAACAAGAACTTGCCAATTTATCCATGGAATCTATGCCTCAGGAGTCTGACTCGAAGCAGGATACATCTAATCTGCCTAATGTAGATGAAAACCATGCAGAATTGGTAGCACAAATAACGGAGAGCTTAAACGAGAAACACAAGAAGGATCTAGCAACTCTCGAGTCTCATTATGATGCCAAAATCAAGGACCTGGAAGATAGATATTCTGTAAGAATGATGTAAATCTATCTTGGAAAAAAACAACGGAAATTTGCATTATTTATCTAAGATTAGATCAATACTTTAGTTATATTTTTGAACAGATGTGTCAGTTCTCAATTTTTTAGAGAACAATATCACTGATATAAAAATGAATTTCAATCCAGTTAACCAGTTAATTCAAATGCAAATTTACGTTATGTTTTCATGGACAGAAAATGATAACAAAGTAATAGAACATATACACGTTGAAAATTCAGCATTATGAAGATCTCTGGTATAAAGGTTGAAAAAAAGTACCGCCAGAGAAATATTAAAATGTCCCTATTTTAATTCAATCAGATTTGTGTGTTCTGATTCAAATTTTTAAATATCAATGTATTGTTTCAATTCAGGGGGAGATAAGCCAGTTGATGTCTCGTCTTGAAAGTCATTTGACAATAAACACAGGGACGATGGAACTAGCTGGAGTTGTGTCCCCTGTCCACTCTGTACCACGGGTAAGTTGAAAATGTAGAGATTAGATCAATTTTAGTTTCAAACATTTTGAAAATGTCTCTTATAAAATTCTTATTGGTTGAAATGTTGAAGACAGATTAACTTGAGAAAATTGAGGGAACTCACACAAATGAATTCACATACATGAAACATTACTTTCATACTGAATGTGATGTACCCAAGGTAGGTCTTTAAAATGTTCAAAGGTTAGGTCACATTTTCTCTCGGTAGAGTGTTGGTTTCAATTCCATGCCAACAAGACCTCCTTTTCAGCAAAATGTTTCCTAAAAGGAAAAGTCCTAAGTTGTCAATAAATACTGAGTTTTAATCAACTTTAGTGTATTTGATTGGTCAATAACATTGTAAGGTGTGGAGGGTTTATTTCTTTAGGAACAGCTGTTTTCATTATCAATCATTTCTCTTTATTGTAATTAATGGGATTTTGAAGAAAAAACTTTGTATTAAAAATGTTCAATAATTTTTTTGCTGAATTTAAAGGACTCAGCAGTCAAAATGCCTTTAACTCTGAGGGTTTTTTTTTTCAATGTATTTTTTCTTTTTGTATTGATGTTGCCTTGGTTCTTGTTACATCAAATATCAAAATTAGATGTAAACTCTCTGTATTTACAGCCTAACTTAAATTTTACCTTATTCAGCTTGTTTGTGTTCATTCTTTGCCAGATTTTACATAACAGTAAAATTCAGTCAACATTGACTGATGAGGAATGTCAGCTTCAACAAAAAGGAAAGTTATTTTTAAGATATTTTTAATCCAAAATAAATATGAAAGTTTCCTTTCATGAGTCATAATGGTAACACCAGCTATGTGTTATAAAAAAAAGAGGGGGGGGGAAGGTAAATTGTCAAAAGATATAAGATATTTAACAGATCAATAAAAAGTAACAGATGGCTGTATATTCATGTAGCAGTATGGATATCGATTTATACATTAAACCCAAGATATGTATGATATTTCAAACCAAGAGAATTTTGAATAAACATGATTGGTGATTTCACACCCTCAAAACATATGTTGGACAGGACATATTCTGTGTGCAAGATAACAAATGATTTGGATTTGGCATAATTGTTTACTTACACAGTTTTTCAAATTATACAGGGTTCAGTTTGGACAGGTTGTGTAATTAAGTAGGTGTTGTAGATAGAGAATGTCACACATGTTAAATTGTGAAATATAAACTTGAATAGATTTGCAACCTCCAGTAGTTGTAGCAATATATGGAGAAGAGTATGAAATTGATATGATTTCTATGGATTGTATAGAGTAAAGCGAGAATTTATAACAGATACCTGGTCAGGTTTTATATTGGCCAATCAACATCTCCCCACCTTGGATGTAGGCTGGCTACAGATGGTGTGAACATCTATCACCAGAGGGTAGCCAATAGCATTGTTACATATGGTGATGAGCAGATGTCTTTCTAAGTCTATTCCTTACGTTGTCAAAGGCATGTATCTGTCCCTTACATTGTCAAAGGCATGTATCTGTCCCTTACATTGTCTAAGGCATGTAACTGTCCCATACATTGTCTAAGGCATGTAACTGTCCCATACATTGTCAAAGGCATGTATCTGTCCCATACATTGTCTAAGGCATGTATCTGTCCCTTACATTGTCAAAGGCATGTATCTGTCCCTTACATTGTCAAAGGCATGTATCTGTCCCTTACATTGTCAAAGGCATGTGTCTGTCCCTTACATTGTCAAAGGCATGTGTCTGTCCCTTACATTGTCAAAGGCATGTATCTGTCCCTTACATTGTCAAAGGCATGTATCTGTCCCTTACATTGTCAAAGGCATGTATCTGTCCCTTACATTGTCAAAGGCATGTATCTGTCCCTTACATTGTTAAAGGCATGTATCTGTCCCTTACATTGTCAAAGGCATGTATCTGTCCCTTACATTGTCAAAGGCATGTATCTGTCCCATACATTGTCTAAGGCATGTATCTGTCCCTTACATTGTCAAAGGCATGTAACTGTCCCTTACATTGTCAAAGGCATGTATCTGTCCCTTACATTGTCAAAGGCATGTAACTGTCCCATACATTGTCAAAGGCATGTATCTGTCCCTTACATTTTCAAAGGCATGTGTCTGTCCCTTACATTGTCAGAGGCATGTGTCTTTCCCTTACATTGTCAAAGGCATGTATCTGTCCCTGACATTGTCAAAGGCATGTGTCTTTCCCTTACATTGTCAAAGGCATGTGTCTTTCCCTGACATTGTCAAAGGCATGTATCTGTCCCATACATTGTCAAAGGTATATATCTCTCCCTTACATTGTCAAAGGTATGTGTCTGTCCCTTACATTATTAAAGGCATGTGTCTGTCCCTGACATTGTCAAAGGTATATATCTGTCCCTTACATTTTCAAAGGCATGTATCTATCCCTTACATTGTCAGGGTTTTGTGTCTGTCCCTTATATTGTCAAAGGCATGTGTCTGTCCCTTACATTGTCAAAGACATGTGTCTGTCCCTGACATTGTCATGTGTTTAATGGATAGAAAAGATTCCCAATACTAAATCAATGACACTGCATTACGTAGTTGTTCTTTGAGATGCAAAAAGGCAAATAAAAGAGCGAAGAATGTGCTGTTGTATATCATACACAGCAGAAGCAGCTCCAGGTGATGTTGCATACACACAAAGTACATATCCCCTCCAGTCATGAATCACTCTTATTGTGCACAACTGTCTCACATGTTACAGGTATGAAACTTATGTCGTCAATATCATGACATCACGATCAGTTACGCCCATCCAATAACTTTGTCCAGGTATCTAGATATACGAGTGAAGTTTAGTTGATGCATATCTAGATCTTACATAAATGATGTGCCTTGATGATGGAATTATTTCTGGTGTTTATCTACCAGTTGAAAGTTTGTAGGTAATAGACATGTAAGTACTGATATGATACTTAAAATGATGTTTATAATTAGAACTTCTGTCAAAAAAATGGCCACAGATTGTTCGATAGTAACTTTTATTACTTGAAAAACATACATATTGTAGACTATGAATATAGAGTTTATTTCAAACTAATTTTGATAGGGAAAATATTGCTTGATAAAGCAGCACATATTCTACATTAATGCTTAAAACATGTACCCCCAGGAGACTTCTTTTCAAACTTTATTGATTTAAATGAAGACTAGGTTTATGATGGTGAAGTTTGGAGATGAGGATATGGTACGAAATACGACTTGTGAGGGATCACAACAGTATGAAACTAATTTGCAGTCTGCAGACTTATGATACAGGCAATTTTATGTTCCAAATTTGTTTGTCTAATAAGCATAACTTTCCTTAACAGTTGTCATTAGACAAATTGGATCAGAAGGGGGGTATGGAAGGACAAGGCACTTCCAGTGATGACCAGTCTTCAGTTCCCACCCGTAGCACTCCACGTGACCTCGACAGTGAGAGGTCAGTTGACAGGTCAGAAACCATGGAGACACTCCTACCGCCAGCACAGATTAGCCCAACCTCAGAGGCGGTAAGTCTGTCATCTGTATTTAGTTTAAAGTTGATTTTTATTTTTCTGTATATATGACCACAAAGAGTTATAGGGATAGTAAATGTTATTTCAAATTTTAGTTAATGTGGGGACTGTCCCAATTAGCAATTACTTATATAGCATAAGATTCTTTAAGAAAAAATTCACGCGACACCATGGTGATCTGGACCCAATCTCAAATCTATACGACATGGTAGTGTTTAGGCTGTTACAATATCTGTAGGGCTAAACCCAATAAAGAAATGGATAAATAGCAATTAAAGCCTTTAAGCTTTTTAAGTTCATTCCATCTGCCTTCAGGACTAAGTTCATGTTCCTTTCCATAACTTCCAGGTAATCCAGTTAATTTGGTATATTTCTGGGTAAACTGTTATTCTTTTTAAGTCAAACTGATCTTGACATCACCTTGACCTGGACTTGACCTTTTGTTGTCATCCAATTCAATATAATCAGATAACTAAGTAATCACTTATGAAGAATGTTCCAATAGCATCAGACTATCCTATGGTTCCATGAACAAGTTGTTTCTAAATATGTAGCTCAGTTGTAAAAAAAAACAGAAAATTGTAATAAAGTTCAATATCTAATTAGGCAATCACGACAGATAATAACTATCCAGAAGCATTTACACATCTCTAAGAAAGATTACGGTTTTAAATTTATATGTCGTTTATTGTAAGATTATTATGTAAAAGCATCATATAAAGTAATACAGGGTTACATCACCATTCTGTCACAATATCTACACAAACAACGCACTACCATTCTGTCACAATATCTACACAAACAATGCACTACCATTCTGTCACAATATCTACACAAACAACGCACTACCATTCTGTCACAATATCTACACAAACAACGCACTACCATTCTGTCACAATATCTACACAAACAATGCACTACCATTCTGTCACAATATCTACACAAACAACGCACTACCATTCTGTCACAATATCTACACAAACAATGCACTACCATTCTGTCACAATATCTACACAAACAACGCACTACCATTCTGTCACAATATCTACACAAACAACGCACTACCATTCTGTCACAATATCTACACAAACAACGCACTACCATTCTGTCACAATATCTACACAAACAACGCACTACCATTCTGTCACAATATCTACACAAACAACGCACTACCATTCTGTCACAATATCTACACAAACAACGCACTACCATTCTGTCACAATATCTACACAAACAACGCACTACCATTCTGTCACAATATCTACACAAACAACGCACTACCATTCTGTCACAATATCTACACAAACAACGCACTACCATTCTGTCACAATATCTACACAAACAACGCACTACCATTCTGTCACAATATCTACACAAACAACGCACTACCATTCTGTCACAATATCTACACAAACAATGCACATGTTTACAAAATGGTTAGCACTATTCCAGTAAAACATCAGCCCAGGACTTCAAAATAAGTATTTTCTCTTCTTAGTGTAAAAGGAGCAGGGTCAGTGTGGATTGTACAGAGTGTCAGTCAGGTTATTCAACAGGCATTTGTATCTTCCCTGTTCTTTCACAATGGTTTAGTTTACTGTCTATTAAATGTCTATTAGCACTTTGCAAATTATCAAGTAGGTTCTGTGCAGAGATGAAAAATTTCCGCCAATCGGCAGATTTCCGCCTTTTTCATGACAGATTTGGTCATTTTTGAGATCGATGCAAATCCGGTGAGAAAATTTCATGGGTGGGGGGGTTTGGTATTTCTTGATGATGCATTTTATTTTTAAGCAATCTTCATCAACTCCGTTCTTAAATCCTTCAATTTATATGCCCTTATAAATTGTAAAATTACACATCGAGCAGTTACGAGCACCGAGTTTTCGGTATTGTCAAATCGATAATATGAAGGAAGATAACTATTACATCAGTCGAACGTTTGAAAGCTATAGTTGAATTACAAGAGATTAAAAATTTCCACCGATCGGCGGATTTCCGCCTTTTCCAATTCCAGCCACTTTCATCTTTGATTCTGTGGATTGTACCCCTAAACAAAACCAGGAGTCTGGTTACACTGAAAAAGTCCTTGTAATTGATTAATTACTGAAAAAGTCCTTATGATTGATAAATTACTGAAAAAGTCCTTATGATTAATAAATTACTGAAAAAGTCCTTATGATTGATTAATTACTGAAAAAGTCCTTATGATTAATAAATAACTAAAAAAGTCCTTATGATTGATTAATTACTGAAAAAGTCCTTACAAGGGATAAACTATAATTCGATGACTTTTAACTATGAATTTAGGTCTAATTTGGATATAAATACAGTTTTTACAAAGATAAGCATTTTGTAATACCCCAGGGGTCTAAGATGTTTTAAACTCTATTCTAATTTTGGATTGTTCTTGTAGCTCAGTGATCGCGACCATGACAGCCTCAAGTCTGAGGAATTGATGATGAGGTTTGACAGTGAGTCCGAAGATAATGGGATGGAGGAGCGACCAGGAGCCAGACTTGGTCATGTCCCATCAGACCAAGGCGACTTCAGCTCTGAGGACGAAATTATCAGCTCCCCAAGTCAGACCACAGCACCATTTGAAGTGGAGTTTATTATTCCAAATCAAACCTCAGTCCAGAGCATGTTACCTGGGCAGGCAACACCTTCAGAAGAGGAGTCAAAAGAACTGCAAATGGAGGAAAAAGAGCAGGATGAAAGTGAGGCTGATCGTAGTGCCAGTCCCGCAGATATTTTGTTACAGACCCAGTCATTGGCTGGATTTACTTTGCCTGCATCAACTATTGGATCTTCAACAGGATCACGCTCAGCCGACTTCCAGGAAACATTGTTGATGGAAGTGAAGGAAAAGGATGAAAAAATCAAACAGGTTAGATGATGTTACATTTTGAAGTGATTCTGTTGTTTACCTTATACCATTCTGTGTATCAATGAATATACATTTGTTTGTTAAGTAACAAAAGATTTTTTTTTTAACAAAAAAAAAATTTTGACAACATTTTGTTTCACAATATCCAATGGCTAAGTTTTTCTTCGGTTTTCTTTGATGTACACAATTTTTACACAGTTCTCCAGAGAAATTATACAAGTCATTCTTTTAAGATAAGTTGATACACAGCTGTCTGGAGGTGTACTTTTCATGTTATTTCCCTTAGGTAAACTCAAAATTGTTTCCAAGTTAGGTGTCAAAATTCTTATAAGTGTTTGAATTTTAGTATAATATTCTTTAACTTTGTATTTCAATATTAGTTGGAGGCAGAGATCCAGGCTTTGAATGGACAGCTGAAGAAACAAACAGAGGAAGAGAACCTGATTCTACTACGACGTGAAAGAGAGGCTCAAGAGGATCAGAACCTAGAAGAACTTCTCCGACAGGATGTATCCCGTGTGAATAAAGAAAGGTAGGTAGAATAAATATAAGGATTTATCTTTATTTTTTGCGTTTCTTAAGTAAAATGATACCACTAATTCCACTAGCTAGGGGAATTGGGTGTTAGCTCATTCATTTATAACAATAGATTTATGATAAAATCTTTTGTGGTTGTAGGGACGCAATACAACAGACAAACGAACACCTGCTTCAGCTGCTGTCGGATGCAGTCAAGACATTTATGAGTGTTGAAGAGGTCATTGGCAAGAAGCTGTCGAAGATTGTAGTGGACACTGGTGACCAATCAGGCCAATCTGGTGTCAAGTCTCCCCGGTCAGCCGAACAAAGTCAAGGAAGCCCGGAAGGAGCTGAGGGTAAGATATCTACTTGTGTATGACTGTATTTGGTTGGAAAAGAGATAGAATGTACAAAAAGTGTGAGTGATTGTATTTGATTGGAGGAGAAATATCATGTGTTCAATTTGTTGATATCCACAATTTGCATGTGTGTGAGTGGTGTATGTAAATAAATGTGTATCAGCGATATTACAATGAAAATATTGCTTATATTTAAGGAGGAGAGTTCCATGACAGTGGCGATGTTCCACAGGAAACTTCTATTCTGTCCAATGACGAGGGACTAGATCTGTCACAACGACTGTGTGAGAGTATCTTCCTGGACTCAGAAGGGGAGGAGCTTCTCACAGGTAGGCGGGGCTACACTTCTCATTTATTTCTACAATATCCAATGTAGGGGATCAAAATAGGCTCTTTATTAGCTCATACCAGTCTAGTTTAGGAGAGGCTTCCCCATCACTTACCATATTTCTCATGGGCAACTAGAAGTTTAACATCAACTGGACTTGCTTGGCTGGTGATCCTGAACAGAGTTGCAATCTTATCCAATTTTTTATGTTTGATTGACCTAGTTTTAATTGTTTAGAATACTGTGGTTGAGTTGTTTAAACAACATGAAAGGCAAAGTTATAAAATTCAGAGTTTAATAAGTTTGATTAATTATTCAAAGTATGCTGAATTAGCTTTTGGTCTCTATCGCTTGATATAATCAAGGTTTTAATTTGAAGAAGTAGAGAAGTTTTGCTAACTTCAAGTGTTTGATAAGAAGAAAATAGATAAGCATTGAATTGTTTTTGCTTGGGAATTGATTTTGTTTGAAATATCAGCTTTACAAGCAAACATTATATTGTGGGTTGTATGATGTGATGTTCGCCAACAATGTACTAGATGTCAGATTTATGTGCCTTTAACTGATATTATGATGTCGTGAATGACATTCCATGGATGTAACTTTCCAGTCGTGTAGCCGTGATCTTTTCTTGTTAATTGATAAAGTGTGATTTCTGTGTAAATACAGATATTCATTATACATTCCACTTAAAATGGTTAGAATTTACAGCACTGATAAACTGGGAGCTGTAATTCTCTGAAGTGAAAAATTTATAAGCTTTTAAATATTGTGAAAATAATTCAAGAATTTATTGAAATTATCGCAGACTTATGAACCTATCCTGTTTTTAAAATATGTGTTTCTTACTGCTATGAGCATGCAAATTTAGGTCTTTTTTCATGGTTGTCAGATAACACGCAAAGTGAGGGTTTTTAATTAAGGGCAGAATTGATTAATGAAACATCATGTTTTAAATATCTTTTATTTTTGGTATGCTTTTCAAATTTGTATTATTAAAATGTTGAATGAATTTTGTTTTTGAATGAAGATTACCTCTGGTTGAAAAATTTCATCATAGGTTGGTGACATTTCTAGTATTGGCATCACAGTTTCTGAACTTTATCACAATCTCAGTTTTTTTGTTGTTTTTTAAAGTTGAAAAACAGAACCATCTTTTTCCTGTCACATGATAAAATCAGATTTTTTGTGTTTTTCTTTATTTCTTTACACATTCACAAGAATGAAATGTGGTGGTTTGGTTAGAAATCCTGAACTTTGTTTACAAAAAAAAATACAGTTGTTTACTCAGTTACAATACTGGAGCAGACTGATCACTCTAAATGTGTGCATGCATTTAATTTTCATGTTGTTTGCAGTGATCACATATCTTTGTTGTCTCTGTGTGGAAGTGAGTGTTTTGAATTTTAATTATATAATTTCAGCATATAGAAAAAATGAAAATATATTAAATGCAGATAAAAAAATTTGAACAAATTTATATTATATTTTTATATTAAATTCAAAGTTCTTAAGTTATCAAAAAGAAGTTTTGCCAAAACATATTTCCTTGATTACCCTTGTCTGGCCCCAATAACTATGGGGAAAAATCATGACAAACCCCACTCAGGGCCCCAAACAGACTGCAGGATGCTAATTTCAGCAGTTGAAGTTTCCATTTCCTAAATGTCACCCATATTTATGATTCATTCATGGAGTCGTCAGTTTCAAATTTGTGTTATGAACAAAACCTGGATTTTATTGGCAGCCTAGGAAAGCCAGCAGTGTATTCCAACTACATAAGTAATAACTTTTTATGATTGAAATAATATTGTCAGTTGTGATTACTTTAAATTTTGGATTGTCACGTTCAGTGTAATAGTGTTATGTCAGCGTATTTGTACATGTGGTTTACATAAGTAGCAGATTCTTAATTACTTTGTCAAAATAATTTTCATGAGTTATTTATTACAAGTTTAAATAATCAATATTCTTTTGATTAATTCAGCTCAGGTTTACGTGCAGCATGCTGGTTATTTTGAAAAAAAAATAAATAGCTGAAAATACCATATTCTCGTTTTAATGATAAACAACACTATGTAGAAATGATAAGATTTTGAAACATTAATCAAACTTTAAACACATCAACTCTATATTCTCTGTAAATATTCCCCAACGACCGTTAATTTACATGTAAAACCCACTTCCTGACTAATCTGTGATACATTTCTTTCCTGTACCTGACATGTAAACAAAAACTTTAAAATTGAAATTATAAACCAACAGTGACCTATGGATGTTGTCTAGATATTTTGAAACAAAACTTCAACATTCTACTGAAGATTAAACCAAATTCTCTGGTGGCTTTCATCAGATAAGAATGAAACAAGGATTTGGCAGTGTTTAACGTGACAGCTTATGAATGTGTGATATGTCGGCATCACTGAACATATGTGAAACAGCTGTGTCTGTATGTACATATGTACAAGTGATTCAGTGGTTCCGTGTAGTCTATACAAGAGTTGATTGGATTTTTTTTTAAGAAGAGAGTTGAGTTTCTTTTCGTAAATGCAACATGGTAGATTTCAATTCCCTTTTTTCCATAAAGTCAACTGATATTGGAGCTGACTTATAACATTTTATAGGGAAAGTCTTCACTTAATAGTATTCACAGTGGAAAGTTCAGGGTGCATTGTTGTATTTGTCCTCTTGACATGTCTACAAAAAAGATGATAGAATACATGTATATTTTACTTGTTGTCTAAAAAGTTGAAAACAATGTTATTTGTTATATTTGAATATGCTTTTGTAGGTTTGTGTCTTAAGGAAAAACTACAACAAGCTTGCTGTACTCTTAATACAAGTTATGAAGATATTTTGCTATACTGTGCTGAATCATACCTTTCCTTCATTTTAATGGCTATGTATATAACTAGCCTGTGTTACTTTAAGTAATTGCTGTTGTTGTTATAGCAGCTACAAAATCTACTCATACATTACTGTACACTACAAGTAATTTCTGCTCTATCCTCTACAGAACAGCAGTAAAAACAGCTTGTTTAACACTGACTGTACCTTATTCCTATTCTACCCTACCCTCTTTTTAGTGACAATGAAAACAGTTCTTCATGTTATACAGTATATAGTGTCTGTTCTACCCTCTATATAGTGACAACCAAAACAGCACATCCTGTTATCCGTAGATATGCAGTATACAATGACAACAGACCGTTTTTACAGTGTCAACTACCACAGAGCATTATGCTATACAGAATATAGATTCTGTCCTGCCCTCTTTAAACTGACAATCACAACAGACCATTATACTGTACAGAATATAGATTCTGTCCTACCCTCTTTAAACTGACAATCACAACAGACCATTATACTGTACAGAATATAGATTCTGTCCTACCCTCTTTAAACTGACAATCACAACAGACCATTATACTATACAGATACTATACAGAATATAGATTCTGTCCTACCCTTTTTAAACTGACAATCACAACAGACCATTATACTATACAGCATATAGATTCTGTCCTACCCTCTTTAAACTGACAATCACAACAGACCATTATACTGTACAGAATACAGATTCTGTCCTACCCTCTTTAAACTGACAATCACAACAGACCATTATACTGTACAGAATACAGATTCTGTCCTGCCCTCTTTAAACTGACAATCACAACAGACCATTATCAGGGCTCTCACACCCCATTTTGGGACTGGGGCCCGGGGCCCTTAGATTTGGGGAAAATAATGGTGTTTTTCTTAGAATTGGGAGAAATTGGGGTCTAAATTGGGGAAAAAATATACTGTTTCGCATTGGGAATGGGGCCGAATATCGGCCCCAAATCTGGCAGATCAAGAGCCCTGGTTATACTATACAAAATATAGAATCTGTCCTACCCTCTTTAAACTGACAATGACAACAGACCATTATGCTATACAGTACATATTTTCTGCCATACCCTCTTTATAATGACAATGACAACAGCTTATTATGTTATACAGTATATAGGTTTTGTGCTTCTTTATAATGAAAACGAAAGCAGACCATTGTGTTATACAATATCTAGTTTCTGCTCCACCCTTTTTATGGTGACAATTGAAAGGTGTCATTACACTAAATAGTCCTAACTTCCAATCATTCTGCCCAGAATATATCATTTTTCGTTTTCACCTTTCACAGATGCCAGTCAGAGACTCCAGGGGTCAGTGACCCGTCTCCTCGATATGATTGAGGACACCACCCACCAACTGACAGATGCACGCCGCACCCAGCATGATCTTGTCTCGACCTTGTCGTCAGGACAACAGGAATCACAGTCACTCGAGTCACGATGCCAAGAGATGGAGGATCGACTTAGGGAACAGGTTGAGGCAAAAGAATTCCTTGCCCTAGAACTACACAAAGCTGAAGGTTGTTTATTTTTGTGTACTTCGGTATAGATTCATTTCTGTCAACATTTTGGAAATTTTCCAAGTTGAAGAATGTAATCATTCAAAATGTTAAATTTTAGAAAAATATATTTTTTGGCCTTTATGCTGCATACATTTATGATTAAAAAAATTTTCTTAATTCTTATCGATAAAGACATGTTTTTGTGATCCAAAAACAACAAACAATTCTCTACTTGGATACCAATTATGAAGAGTGAGATTTTGAGAAACATTTTTCTTCTGATTCTATTTGACACTCAACCTAACTTGATTAAGATAAGCATTTATTTTGTATTATAATTTGTAAAATGATTTATTAGGAAATTTAAACAACTTTTACTGTGATATGCAAAGTTGATTCTGTGTGAAAGGAAGAATGATTGCTGATGTAAAATAAACTTTATTTATTTTACAACAATTGCGAAACAAGTTATGTCAACTTTTACGGATGTGATGTGCAAAGTTGATGCTTACCTTTTGTGTGAAAGGAAGAATGATGCGCCACCGGACCACCCAATGCTGATGTAAGAAATAAATATTCAGAGTGTATGATAAGTCATTATCTGTATGTTTTAAGGATTAATTGAGGGCTACAGTGCCGAACGTGAGATGTTGGAACTGCGGATACAGGATCTTGAGGAACAGAAAGAGGCTCTTGTCCTTGAACTTGAAACAACACGAAACAAACTTGGCGACCTTGAGACTGTTCATCACGAAGCCACGTCATTGCGAGCAGAAATCCAAAGGCAGCATAATCTGGTCCAGGAGAACGCTGGCGAGGAAGCACAAGGTTTACGTCGTTTCCGTTACCTTTTACTTCCACTAGGTGTAGCTGTCACTAGCTTCTTGCTGCGTGACTATATATAATGCAAATGTATAACATTGTCTTGTTCGGTGTGATAATATGAAATATTCCTGCTTTGTTTTTACGTAATTCGGAGTCTATTAATAGCATCAAGTTGTTGTGAATTATATATATATATATAATTTTTGATAGAATTTATTTTGTGATGTTTTTGCCTTACTCTGATTGATACTTGTTAATTCTACTTAGATTTTAGTTATTGTTGACTGTTGATTGGATAGTTTGAAACATAGTACATACATTTATATATATCTAATATACATATATGAATGCTGTAGTCATGCTTGATTGATTTTGCGTGCCAGAATGAATTCATAGCATGGAATTGTTACATGTTTTTAATACATTGGGATTTGTCTTTAGAATTGAAAATTTCTGGGGTTATACCTACAAACTTAACATCAGTATCACACTGACAAATTCAAATCATCATGTAATTAGCAGAAATTAAGCAATGTTAATTTATTATTGAGATTACAGATATTAATTTACTTTGTATTTTAAAAATGCAAATTTAAGTGGAGTTAGATATTGATTTAAAAAAAACTGATTGTCTGAAAAAAGGATTACACTGTCCCCAGGTGTTGTATGTGTAAGCCTATCCCAGAAATTGTTCACCTCCAAAAGACAGAACTCACACCATTCTCTTATGTTATTCATTTGTCTGTTAATACATGTATATGTTTGACCCATCATGAACTTTGACCCATGTTGATCTTTGACCCACTGTATGATTTCAATGGAAATAGGGTCATGATGTTTCTAGTTGCTATAGTTATGTATGTACTTATCACTGATAATGTCATCAGCTTAGCACTGGATTTACAGTTAAAGTCATGACCTTTGACCTATTTAAACCACAGGCCTTTTCCTGTCCAGAATTGACTGAGTAGATTTAATACCAGTTATTGTTAACTTGTATTTATATTGTTATATTTGTCTGAGGACATTGTTTATCTCTTATAAACAAATAAATGAAATTGTCATGCTAGAAATAAAAATAGAGCTGATTAAGATATGTTACATTCCCCCAAAAATTAGTCTCTTTGAGCTTTAAAGAATAATCTATTAATGTTTTATAATATCATCATATGTATATAAAAGTAAATCGTAAATAGGAAATATAGAAAAATAGAAGGTTTGCAAGATAAGCAGGGTTTCATAGTGGAAATATAATCAGGTAACAAAATGATTAATGGATGGATTTTGTGTTTGGTTTACTTGGAAAATAAATAAAACTGGCTGGATAATTTGAGAAAAAGATTTTTATTATATCTGAAATTGTAAACAAATATTAATTCCATAAAGCTGACACCAAAGCAAAGCCATCTTATATGAGATATCAAGTCCATGAGATAAAGAGTTAAGGATATATGCTACCTTAATGTATTATCTCCATTCTAGAAGAATCTCAAGGTTTGGAAAAGTAGATTTTATTTTGAATTCATTAAAAAATTTCCAAACCTGTTTATTTGATCAATGAAAAAATTATCCTTAGATATGCAGTAATGAAAATACTGATGATACCTTTGAAGAAAGATAATTATTTTGCAAGGGAGGTAATTCAAAAGCATGCACATGTGATAGGTGCAAGGTAGCATATAACCTTAAGGAAGCAGCATGATATATCAAAAGAAGATTTAACCAGAAAAACTGTAGAGGAGATACCAAAATGGAAGGTAAATATCATAAATTATTCATAATCATAATAAAAATTCTTCACAATATTTGTAATCAATATCTAATTTTACAAACTTTCAAGTGTTTTACAAAGAAAATAATTCTAAAAAATGAAAATTACCAGTCTCAATTTTTAAAGTTAATTGTTTTTGTTTCTTTTGGGATTTTTTTTCTCTCATTTTGGAGTTTTCGTATACTAAAACTGTCTATCTGAAATTGATTATTTTCTTTTAGATAGAATATATTCATTCTAAATGGAAATTTAATATCATATCCATATAACTAGTCCCATATACCAGACATCAATATATTCTGGTAATAAAGAATTAAAGTGGAGACTGAGAATGAAAAGCGTTAAGGTGGAAGTTAGTTCAGTTACAGGTTAAACCTACTAGGATGTGGTCGTTGTGGACAGGAAAAGGCCTCGTGTACTCCTCAGGTAAGGAGTGCTCTCCCCTTCTTGTCTATATTTAGGCACAGGTTTCTTGGCTGTAGGGACTGCGGGTTGTGGAGGTAACTTTCTACATGTAATCAGATGCAAGAGGGCTTTTGCTTCATTCATTGCCATCAATTTTTCCTATTATTTTGTCAAATTTTATTTATTTTTTTTTTTTTTGGTCTTGAATTTCTAAGAGAAAAAAAAAGTGATAAATCTTATTTCTGCAGAAATCAATAACTTTATGCATTGTTTGCAAATAACATCTTTAAAAAATGCCTTCATGAATTCCAATCATTTTCAACTCTTAAAACTTAATGGAAGCTAAAGCCCTTTGATGTAAGCTTCAACCCTGAAGCCCCTTTACAAACACAGTAGATTGTTCTTGTCCTTTGTGGTGGACCAGTCTATTGTTGTTAGGGTGTTTTCAGGGTTAAAGGTGCTTCGTTGATACATCGGTGACCCTGGTTTCCCTTATCGTTGTACCAGCTTATGTTACAAACATAGTACTAAGAAATCCTGTATGAAATTATTGAGTTACTTTTGTGGAAATATGGTGCATGATTGGCAGCTAAGAGGGTATCCAGTTTCCTCATCTGCTAAATAAACTTCCTTTGTAAATAATTCAGGTTAGTTTATTTTCCAAGTGTAAGGAAGAAAGGATTTGTGGTATATGTCATCATCATTAACATTGAACCCTGTCACATTTACCGAGCCCTGCTCGATTAATAGGAATAGTTTATTTCTTTCTGGATGAAAAACATTTTTTATTTAAAATTTTGGAAATTGAATCCTGGAATTATTTCAATATTATCTTTTTCTGCTGTTAAGATTTTACATCTTGACTGGATTTGTTCGGCAATGACAGGTTTCCTTGTTCAATATTAATTCATGAAATATTTGAGCACTAGAAATGTCTTTATTTTACCATCTTCAATACAATATGTATTATAATCTGTAGAAGTGTTAAACTTAATTTGTGGTATAACTGGTGTACAAGTATTGGTTTGTGAAAACTGTTTTATTCTGTATGGATACAGTAGAAATATTTGTATATCTGAGAAAGCTGAAGGAAAAAGTAAAGACATTTCTAAAACTAAAACTATTATCATATACATGTTTAGGGAAACTTTACAGTTGCATTAGATACAGGATTCTTCTAAAATACCTGCTTAAAATACCTATGTATAGAAATGATGTAGATTTTACTGTCACAGTGTAATTAATGGAAAACTGTTAGCCAGTGTTGTGTAAAGTTTCTCTTACTTCATAATCTATCTTCATAATCATAACATTTTTTTTATTTCAGTTTAGTTTACCATGTTTTGATAGATTTTAGTATCTTTAATTTCATTTTTAAATGTTGACCTCATTCAAAGTCAAAAATCTTGGATCGAAATGCCAAGGTCGTGTAGAAATGTCATTTGAATAGTTGCTCAGCATTCTTATAAGAACAAAATTAAGAATAGATACTTTTAATCTTTTTGATGCATTCAAAATAGATAACGACCTTTGATGATTTTAATCAAGACATGTTTACCATTTGACTGAAGGTGTTTGAAATATAGCTAACATAAACATTTATACATATATAATCAGTATTAAATACAGCATGATCCTTAATATAATCACCAACAGTTTACATGATATGCAATGCATGCAAACAAAAGTTTGTTTTTTTTGTGAAATTTTACAAGAAAATATTATTTTATACCCAAAGTCCTGTGGAAGGGAGGTAATTCCAAAAGAAATAAGATATAAAGTAGCCTTAATATAAATTTTCATTTATACATCTATCAAATTGAATCTAGAATCGTGATTTCACAATCACCACATGATCATCGTGCCAAATATTTCAATCTTTCGTTTACAGGAGTCCACCATTTAATCATGATTTACTTGCATTGTATACATACATAAATATATATGGACAGAGAGTAGATGTAACAAAGTGATTATATCTAACTACCAACATTTATTGTTTATTTTACACTTAATTAACTCAAAGTTAACAACTATTTATATGGGATGGAACAATGGTTTTTAAAAGTTAACTCTACGCAAATGTTCGGTACTAGGTGATATAACACAAAAAGATAACCTAAATTAGTACAGACACTTATTAGTTTCACTAAGATATAATTAAAAGTGATAGAGAGTCGAAGTTCTGAATATAATTTATCTTTTTAGAGACAATAAGTAAAGTCTTGAAACTAAGAGAAGTCTATTTGATCAGATTCTAGGATTTTCATGATGTTTTAGATTGTGGAGGGAGATTCCATTTTCATATTAGTTTAGGGATGCATGCATATTAAACTAACATCAGTTTGTCAATCCTTCCTTACCCAACAATTAACCCTGCTTGTAACCTTCCAATATCGCTGTGGTGATGGATGTCAATTTTCCTGAAAATCTCTTGCATCTTTCCTTGATTTTCGAGCATAATTTATTCATATAAAATAATAAAACCGTTTTTTTCTGATTTAAAAGTTAAATATTTGAAAGTAATGTTTTCAGGAAAATTGGTAATTGCTTTAACGCATATTCACTTACATGTTTATGCTGCATGTGTTGCATGAACTGAAAAAGACTTATGGTGTGTTTATCGGCCTATAGTTATTGTCCCAAGTTCAAGAAAAAAGAACTAAATATCAATTTCATTGAACAGAAATTAAAAACAACTAATGATATTTTACCAAAACATTTTTTTTTACATAATAGGTCTTTGATCTCATTGATTTATACTATTCACTCAGAGTTTTCCAAATAAAAGTTTTGATATCTCAAGAACCCTGCCAGTAAAATTTAGTGATAAAAACATTACAGTTATGTGTTCAGATCACCATAAATCTTTTGAAAAATGGGATTTCGTATTGCATGCTGGGAAATTATTTTACTACCTGCTTAATTTGAGTATCTTGGTTTAATTTTTGCCCCGTTTGAGATATACTTTTGTACTTTGCATTTTTCTTGAATAATGAACATATAGAATGGTCTGTAAGTTTAGTTATCTTATTTTGTTAAGTGTAAATGCTTTCCAATTCATTCCTACCCTGCTATTTTGTTTTTAAAAGGTATAATCATTCAGAAGAATTGTTCAGGCAGTTGATAAACTACAGCTGTATGATATTATATTAAAGTATAGCATGGGTATTATTGGATAGTCTAGGTTCATATCTAATGCATTTTGTTTTTTCTTTCTTCCCTCTGATAAACCTACTTGGTCTGACTTTTGCATGGCTATGTGCCATTTTGTCTACAAACAGTCTCCATGACGACAAGAGAAGGGGCGCCCCCTATTGGACAAGGTTGGTCCTACCAGTCAGACACCGTTTCATATTTCATCATGATCTCTATACCTCATTGTTTTATATTAATGCTGTTCTTTACTTAATTTAAACTTAATAATTATTGATACAAACATTTTTTTTCTATTCTGAATTTTAAAAGAAAAAAGAAAACATATATTCTTTGATAATCCTTTGAAAATATCCATTTTCTGTTTTTCCTCTGCTTTTATTTGTCTTAATCCAATTCCATCTGTTGTATGAAGCCGTATTGTGTTGCTTGTTGTTGCATGGATACAAAAAGCCTCTGTCCTTTTGTATATCGTGGAACTAAAGTATTGTTGAACTGTTGTTTAGTAAAACATCCTGTTATATGTACAGTTATATCCCCTATCAAAGACCATGGAAGTATGTTTTTATTAAACAGAGAGGAGAGTTATCTCCCCTATCTAAAATCATAGAAATGATTCATTTTAATTTGACATTTCTTTTAAGAGTCTAGACCAGGTGACATCACCTTAATGAAGTAGAGCTAGTCTGAAAATATTTAAGTTCACAACAGGATTTTAAGTAGACATATTTCATATAAACACTAGCTAGAATTTCAGTAAAGGAAATCGGGATCTTTTGATCACTGATTTACTTGACAAGCTAGGTTTTTTATAAGACAACTGCTGGAAATTTTTGAAAATCTTGATACATTTTTTGTTTGAGTTACTGTAGGTTTACTACCATCTGAATGGTATGTTTTGTTTTTACTGGAACTTCCTCTGTGGTGTAGATAGGATATCACTTGACCTTTTTTTTTCCAGTCAAAATAACCCTTTTTAAAATGAGGATTTAAAAAAAATAAAATGATTATATAATGGAAAACGAAAAAACAATAACATCATTTCCTCAATTAGGAGGGAGGGGGGAGAGGGGAATTATCAATCAAATGTAGGCTATAGAGAAAAAGTACAGTACAGAAAAAAGGAATAAGTTTTTTGTAGTTGTGAGATTTTTAAAATTTATTTTATAATTATTGTATTGACATTAATATGAAAATGATGTACAACATATAATGTGTAGAAGTTTGAAAGTTCATTTACATAATCAACTTTTAAAAAAAAAAAAAACATGAATTGCTGTGCTTTAAACATACCTGCCAATTTTCCTGATTCAGTCGGGAGTTTTCCGTTTTCACTCCCAATCCCTGCCTCCAGATTGTATGGATCAAAATTGGGGTAATCTCCCAATTTCAGAGATCCCACTGGGTAGGTCATAAGTCACCTTGCTATATTTGTCAAATTGGTAAACTGCCCAACTATCTAACTAGTGTCGCCCGATTACTGTTAATCCTAATTGACGCTTGGGAGAACATTTTTATACGGCTGATTGTTCTCTACCGAATTAACGATTGACCATTGGTCAGGACTCAGGGGTGGGCCCTGGTAAATGTTTGGTGAAGATGAGGTCATTTTACAGGTAATCAAGTAGTTATTACCATGTTTATACTACCTGCGTGGTCAAATAACAAATTTAACAAGAAAATAGTTTGAAAAACAGTATTTTATGGTGAGACAATGTCCAAGCATTCCTCAACCAATACCAATAATTTAACCACATCAGTCCTTAAAAAATGACTAAGTTAATATTTCACACACTGAAAAGTTAACTGAAATTTCAAGCATGTTTAATTCTTCACAAAAACGTGATAATGTTAAACAGGAAGTAGCTACACTTATGCAAAATAGGAACTGATCCGGACCAAATTTCCAGATTTATATCTTTGTTATTTTCTACATATTAATTTAACAGTAAATACAAATATTGAAATATCTATTAGACCATTAGATCTAGATTAAAACGTTTTGAATTTTATGAACGAATCTATTCCATTTATCTTTTTTCACCTCATTTCATTATACATGTTTTTTTTCATTGCTATAGTTCAGTAAAGCATGCACTTTCCCAATTTAAAGTTATCTAGATGTATTGATTAAAGTTATTGATTATAATTAATTTTTCCTTTGTGACAAATATCACGACGCACAAGGTATTGTGGCGAGTCAAAAATGTTATTCACACACATTTCTCCCCCATGAGAATTTTGAAAAGTTGGCAGGTATGCTTTAAACTTTGATAACTTGCATGAAAATATGTAGATATTTCACTGACCTGTGTGAACTGCACCTTATGTATGTTTTCTGTCCCATTTTTAGGGTATAACTTACAGTGTTGACTGCAAGTTATCCTTCTTACACAGGATATTGTGTTCTTAAACCATTTCATACTTTTCACAGAACACATCAGATTAGAATTTGCCAGATTTTATATCACAATCACTTCCCCGTCACAACTGTGCTGTCATTACTGCTAGATCATATAAAGAACTTCATCTTTTTAGTGTCATAATTAAATAATTAGAATAACATCTCCAGATGGAACATTCCTCAGTGATTTATCTCCCTTTTCATTAGCTCTTCAATTTCTTTTTTCCTTTCCTTCTTTTTTTTTTCCTTTTTTTCAAATTTTACACCCTCTAATAAAAATTTTCATCTAATATATTTTATAGATTTTTAGGTAACATCTCTCTTATAGAAGCACCCTGATTTTTCAATTTTCTAAATAAACTTTATCCTGATCAAACCAAGAAAATCCTGTTTTTTAGTGTTCTTAATTAAAATTTAAATATGAGACAAATAGAAATTGTCAAATATTAAAATGATGTATTACTGAAGATCAAATGAGATCAACACCAGTTCAAAGATGTTTTATTTTTGAATAATGATAATGATTTTTTTGCTTGACTTGAGCTTATGGTGTTTCGTTTGATATTTTTAACACAAATTCACAAATAGCTTGTGTGAGAAAGTATGTTAACATAAAATTTTCACATCATTTTTAGTGTTATTCATAATTTGTTGGTTTTAAATTTTCATGAATAGGAGATTATGCTGTTAAAAAATCACTTTCTAAACAAAAAAAAAGAAAATTGCAAAATGAAAAAGTTCTGTTTTATTTTGTGCTATGTACAGCATTGATGCTGGAGGTACATCGAGTAAATGAAGAAAAGCGAGATCTAGCCCAAAAACTACGTGAATTACAAGAAAATTATGATCATCGTGTGCGTGAACTTGAAAATGCTGGTGAGGAAACAGAACGTCATTATGTGGCCTTACTTGAGGAGAAGAAGGCTGAAATGAATGACCTTCGGCTCCAGCTAGATGCATCGGAGAAACAAAATAAGGCAAATCGTCAGTTTATGGAGGTAAGTTTGTTCCTTGTTATTCAGGTTATTTGCTCTGAGGCTCAAACTCTCATTGAGACATTACCTGTTTTAACAACAGGTTCTTGTAACTTGAACACTTGTATATCATAAATAGCAAGGCAAAGTTGATAAAGTCTTGATATTTTTTCAATATTAAATGTATATTAAAATTATTGAAAGCATGTAATTTGTGGAAATTAAAAGAAATTGCAAGGAGGTGTTAAAATCATGTAAAACTGTCAAAAAGGAATTATTTAAAAAAAAAAATCAAAATTGCATTAAAGTTGCAATGCATTCATATTTTCTTCATGCTTGTAATGTCAGTAAAATAGTTCTCTTAACACAACCTGAAGATTTATGTGTGACATAACTCCTAAATCTTCTGGTTGTGTTAGTAAAGCTTATATTCTATACAATTCAATGAACATTGATACAATGAACATATGATAGCCCCCACCCCCTCCAAAAAAACAAAAAAACAAAAAATTCTGTAAAAAAAAAGATCTGCATGGTGTTTAAGATGCTTCAGTTTACAGTGATATTTAACTGTTTTGTACAATTTTTATAGGAAGAAGCTGTGGAAAGGGAGAAAGAGAGAGAAGAATATCAAAGAGAAATAGCGTCATGGAAGCAGAAAATTCTGGATAGTCAGAAGGAGAAAAAGGTAGAGACAAGACTACAACGACAGGTACGTACAACATTCTCATAAGATTTTAAGTTCTGTGTGTTTCAATATTTGCGTTAGAGATATAAATGATGGAAAAAAATTTGAAACGCATATGAGAACAAGACTATGCTAAAAAAAAAAAAAAGAAAAGAAACCCCACTAGATTTTAGATTCCTCTTGCCTATCAGTTATCTCCCTTGAATCATCCCCCCTACCTGACCACTCTTGATATCTGATTAATGATGATTTCTGCGGTCAGGTGGATGACTTAACAGAGCAGTTACAAAGTCAGTTGGACCGTGATAGCGAGTTTGAGGAGCAGACAGCCCAACTCCAGCGTGATCTCCATGACAAACAGATGAGTGCGGAGGATATGAGAGCCCTTGTCCTGGAGCAGGAGAAAGATTTGGAGGAACGGAGTCGGATGGAAGATATTTTGAGACAGGTATAACAGGAATTTGTTTGTTGTAACCCCGGGAGACCAACATATCACTCAAGATCAAGTGGTGGACTGATTTTAGGGAATGATATTGCATTTAGTGGCTTTCCTTTAAAGCTGAAAGATATCTGTGTTTCTTGACCGAGCAAAGGCAATTTTTGTGTTGAGACAGCATATTGAATGTGTGATCTATACACAAAAAAAAATCTATTTTATTCTAATCTATTCCAATTGCTTAAGCGATCTTTGTCCTCAGTCTGTCTGTAAACAACTAATGTTTTTACCATTTCTTGAGACTTGCTCAATGGATTATTCTCAGATTTCATATTTGGGTTCCCAATGTTCTTTACAATAGTTCACTTTCCTAGTTTTTCACTGTACTAGTAGTTCAGTGTGTATTTTGGAAGGTAAAATAAGATAGCTCCTAAGCAGAAATATTCTATTTACCAGTTGATGTTTGTTGTCTCTATTGTTACTGGATGAATCATTCTGAAATATAATCACTTAAGAGGAAAGTAGAGAAAACATGATTAACGATTCAACTAATGAAGAACTGATAAAATCATACAAAAGTGGAGGGCTATATCCTTCTTGGACTGTTGTATAGGTTGTCTGAAATTGAAGAACAATTTTTTTTGTCATTTGCAGAAACTGAGGGATATGGAAGAGGAGTTATCCAAACAGCACCGAGTGAACACTGAACTGTCAGATATAATCAAGCTCCCACCCAACATTGAGTCAGACGAAGAAGAGACTGAAGATGGAAACGGAGGACGTACAACAAACACTAGACATCGGCGCCTTTTACCATCACAACTGTCACTTCAACAAGAGGAGGTAAATAAAACAACAAGATGGCAATACCAGTCCATTACAGTTATATATCATTGTTTTGTGTCTCATTAAGAAAGGTAAGTTATCATACAACAATGGTGCCCCCTACTTTAACAACTGTTGCAACAAAAAGAGGAGGTAAGCAAACAGCATCAGTGCCCCGTACTATCACACGTACATTTCATTGTTTTGCAGTATCTTCACTAAACATGATAAGTGAACATTTTGATGTACATGTTCTGAAGATGGTTTGCCTAGCCAACTGAAACATGTCAACAAATGAAATCTCAGAGATGAAATCCCTGGTGTTGTAGCTCCATCCTATATATGCTTGTTAGTACATATCATCTATGGAGCTGTACAAGAATACTCCTGTTTCCACCTAGGATTTTTGTTTCTGGGGTCTTCTGCATGTTTTCAAAAACTAATGTATCGAGATTCTCATTTTGAATTACTGACTGTCCTCACTTAAGAAAATGAAATCATCGGAGTGTATCATGAAAATGCAAGTCATTGGGTAGACAGCAGATTTGTAGATAAGTACCATGCTGTGCAAAATCTGAGTAAGAAAGTCATTTGTTAATTATACTTTTATAAGGTATGGAGCTGTCAGTCATGAAATTGTGAATTTCCTTGTCAGGAATTGTTACATGAAAAGGAGGCCTTACAGCGACGGGTAGAGCAGCTCCTGAAACAGATCTCAGCCCTGGAGAATAAGCTTGACACAATGAGGCACCGCGGCAGTCTGGATGATGACAGCCAAACCGCTTCTCTTCAGAGACAGTTGGAAAGGCAGACAGAAATAGTGGAGAGTCGTGATAAACAGGTGGTTATCATTGATATCAGGGATCAGGTGACTGTTGGGGGGTGGGGGAGGGGAGGTAATTAGACCTACAACAGGTGGTTATCATTGATATCAGGGATCAGGTGACAATAAGGGGTGGAAGAGGGGAGGTAATTAGACCTATAACAGATGGGTAACATTGATATCAGGGATCAGGTGACAAGGGGGTGGAAGAGGGGGTGGAAGAGGGGAGGTAACAGATGGATAACATTGATATCAGGGATCAGGTGACAATAGGGGGTGGAAGAGGGGAGGTAATTAGACCCACAACAGATGGGTAACATTGATATCAGGGATCAGGTGACAATAGGGGGTGGAAGAGGGGAGGTAATTAGACCCACAACAGATGGGTAACATTGATATCAGGGATCAGGTGACAATAGGGGGTGGAAGAGGGGCAGTAATTAGACCCACAACAGGTGGTTATCATTGATATCAGGGATCAGGTGACAATAGGGGGTGGAAGAGGGGAGGTAATTAGACCTATAACAGATGGGTAACATTGATATCAGGGATCAGGTGACAATAGGGGGTGGAAGAGGGGAGGTAATTAGACCTACAACAGATGGGTAACATTGATATCAGGGATCAGGTGACAATAGGGGGTGGAAGAGGGGCAGTAATTAGACCCACAACAGATGGGTAACATTGATATCAGGGATCAGGTGACTATAGAGATTTGGGGAACAGTAAGTTGGAACCTTCAGCAGGTGGGTAACAGGTTGGAGGGTGAATATGACCACTTGATAAATTTAAATACAGTAAGAGTTTGTGTTTTAGGTTTTTACAAAACACTCACTGAAGTATTCTTTACACACTCTAGTTGGAAGAACAAAAAGAACAGATTGAGGATTTAGCTGGTCAGCTTGTCAATAAAGAACGCCTCATACAACAGTTGACTGAACATATTGAGTCAACCGAGCAGCCAGAAGTCAAGAGCCAGCCTGATCGTGACACAGTCATTGAGAAGCTACAGGATGAGAACATGGAAATGACAGTAAGAATTATCACTAACAGAAAAATGGTTTGATAATTTGAGCTGTGACTTTTTCTTCTTTTTTTCACTATCCACTGACATAATTTCAAAGTTGTTTTCAATTAGGGTTGCCATGGTAACCAGGTGAAATTTGTAATCAAGTATTCTTGTTTACAGACGAAGATCAAATCACTACAGAATAAAATAGCCTCAACACCGATGCCTGTCCTGAATCAGAGTCTGATTATGGAGAAAAACCAAGAAATAGACCATCTTAATAACCAGATTGAACAACTCAACTATGAGATCGAACGTCTTCGTTCTGGACAGGAAATAGCCAGATTGGTAGGTTTGTTAATCTTGGTAGATTTGTATTAATTTTTTTTCTTTTGCAACCAATCTGACATGTTTTCTCAGCTTAATTATTGGCCTGACATTTATGATTAAACCCACCTAGGATGACAGGTTTTCATTTTTTCAGCTCCATGCAATGTTTAAAGTTGTATATAAAATTATTTCAGATCATTCAAATCTAAGCTAATGAAGGTGATAAAAGCATTAGATTTGAAAATTTTGGTGGTTTGATTTTGTAGCAGGCAGAGGTTGATAGACAACAAGCAGAGTTAGAACAATCCAAGACTGACATGCAGTTCCTGAGAGCTTCACAAGCTTCTACCTTCTCTGGAGATGGATCTGATGTTGAGGTTCCAGGAGTTACCGATTCCTTCAGCGAAAAGGTACAGCCAATCACACTGAAATCCATGGATAAGTTTCAGATTTTTTATATGAAAGAGAAAATTAGATTGTTGATCATCCTACCCTGGTAAATTATTCTCCCATTAAAAATTGTTAATTAATGTCATATACATTTTTTTTTAATTTTCACTAAGTCCATTACCTGGGAATAAAGCCACATATGTAATTGCTGTACAATAGAATTATCCATCTGTACCTACTCCATGTAGTTAGGAGTACTATGTTGATGAAACAATAAGATAATTCCAGTAATATAGAATTACAATGACCACAGACCAACCTTCAGCAAGAGATACAGGACTCTCTTAAGCATGAGGAGGAGGCAGAGGAGATCCGTACAGAGCTACACAAATCCAGGTCGGAGTTGGAGAAGAGGAATGAAGAGTTTGGAAGACTTGGACAAGAATTTGAATCTCAATTTAAAGCTGATCAGGTGAGTTAAAGGGAGGTAACTCATATCGTCCTTCCTTCCCAACTATCAGTTGTTGATGACCCAAACTAAACTGATCATTATGTGCAGTTTCTTATTTCGTAAAGGATTAAGAAATACAGATGAAATTTTTGACCTGACATGATTTCAAGTGGTGTCGGTTATGCTGTCAACACTGCAAAATATTAAAAAGAAATCTGCATTTTTGATGATCAAAAATCACATCTATTTATGGTCTGTTTTTCAAACTCTGTGCAATACATCTTTTTCCATTCAGAGAGGATTTCAATTGATTCTTAAATAATTTCTAAAATGTGGCCAGTTGAAATATAACTATAAAGGTGTTTGAAATGTTTTTCTTTGGTTTTTGGTGGATTGTGTTTTCTCAGGGAGCTGAAAACCTACCAGTCTGTGCTGGCATAGTTGTGGTCAGGGCCATTTTACCCAAATTGTTCTGAATGGCAAGCAATGAAACTCCCATATGTTTTTCAGTGTGGTAGACCTTCCATCAAAATGCCTTGTCAGTAAAAAGTGACTAATATTTCTGTTCCAGACTAGAATCCAGGAACTGACAGTACATCTTGAACACCAACAAACTGAAATTTCAGATCTTAAAGAAAGACTTACAAAGAAAGAGGCGCTTCAGGCAAAGGTAAATTGTATATAACTACTGGATATGAATTAAGAAAATTGTGTGATTCCTGGTTACAGGAAAACATGGCATAGAACATCAACTCTTCATTTCTGAACATTTAGGTTTTATACTAGTTTACTCTTTCAATGTCAAATATACTTTTAGAAATTTTGAATTATTTGACAACTCCTGCAAAGAGTTAAAATTTTCAAGAAGATGCTGGTTTAAGTTATATATCTCAACATGTAAGAAAACTTAGTTTAATAAATATATTCCCTATGATCCCAGGCTGACCCAAGCAGTCCTTTGGACCATGCACAGCTGAAGGATATTGTCCAGGAAAAGGAGAGTCAGATTGAACAAATGACCATTCAGATTGAATCACTGAATGCAGAAGTGGAAAGTCTGAATGATTTCCAGGTAAGGGAGACAACCTGGAGTTCTGAGATGTTTTACTCAAAATCCTGGTATATTTCAATTTAACAAAACAATGTAAGTCCAATATGTAACAATGATACATAAAAATATATATAAAAGTAAAGAAACAGTCACTTCATTAAAACTCAATAATATGCTAAACTTGTAAAGTAAATGCTTGACTGAAAGTCTCTTCCTTAAGTGACCTTAATATTTTCTCTCTTTTAGACAAAGTTAGCTGAAGATTTTGACCTGGTACAGTCAATGCTGGAGGAAAAAGAGAGAGATATTGACCTGCTCACCAAGGAACTCACAGAGAAATCTGCAGAAAGTCCAAGTGCCCTTGTAAGCCTACTGTCAGAATATAAAAGTTTATTTAAATCCAAAATCTTATATTTTGTAATTTATGTTCAAAAGATTACTTTCATTTCAATATATTTATTTCTGAATAAAATTAACAAATTTGAAAGTTACTAATAATTTTCATATTCCATTGAGATGAAAATAAAAAGAAGCACTGTAGATTCATTTGCAGATTAATCAAAGTTTTGTATTGAAAAGCAAAATGATGAATTTTGTATTTTCCTGCAGACTGCCCTTGAATTAGAGATATCTAAACTTCAGAGAGAGTTGAAGGAACGTGATAATGTGATTGATGAGAAAGCAGAGGAGATGTATCTGCTGAATGAGAAAATTGAACAGCAGGTAAACATTTTTCATAGTTCATCTGTTACAAAAATCACACCAACTTTAAGTACCTCAAAGGTAACAGTAGCAAGTTACCTGTTAGATAGTACAAACACAGCACACATACAGCACACACCTGTACTAGCTGACAGCTACTGTCCAACTAAATCAGGTTGGAAAAGACTGGCAGACGGGGGTCGGTTTTCACGTGCTGATGTTCTACCGTTGGTTTATCCGTCCGAATCCCGAGATCTCATAACTACGATAAATATTAATATATAATAACTACATGACTTCTACTTCTATAACTTATACTTGCTAGACTTACAAAACTTTTCTCGTAAACACAGTGACAATACTGCAGTGGTATTTATTCTATAAATAACTTCCACAAGTGTGCACACAGTTAATATGTCACTTCCTGTCAAAACAAAGCATGGCACAGCAGAAACACTCTCGACATGTTACTGATCATATTTCACCACTTTCCTGAATCACAATGGATAACAATTATCCAGAAGCATTTACTCATCTCTAAGAAAGATTAAGGTTTTAAATTTATATGTCGTTTATTGCAAGATTAATATGTAAAAGCATAATATAAAGTAATACAGGGTTACATCACCATTCTGTCACAATATTCTAACACCCTTGATGCTCAGGGAACTCTCACAGAACATTGGGAAATTCCAGTATCTTCTATGAAATCATTGACCTCTTTATAGTCTATATTTGTGACCTTTTTCATAAGATAAATTTCTTGTTGTGTGACAAGATAAAGATGTAAAAAAGCTTATTACTGGCCTCATGATCCTTCAAAACTTATTGATAACCTCAGCTGTTGTGAGACATAAAATCACAGTTGATTGAATGTATTGTGTCCTTTTTCTAGGAGGTGATGTTAACAGATTTGAAGACCCAGTCGGAAGAAGTGTCCAGTAGAAAGACTCCTGAAGAAGTCCAGGAACTCCTGAAGGAGAAAGAGGGTGTCATTCAGGACAAAGATCAGGAAATTGTTAAACTACAAGACCAACTTGATGCTGTCAATGAACATCTGAAGATTGCTGAAAATCTACAGAGGAAGCTGGAGGAAGCTGGATTGGTAGGTCCGGATATTCTTATGAAGGAAAAGGATACCGAGATCCAGAAACTGAAAGACCAGGTAGTAGACTTGAAAGAAAAGCTTAAAGCTGTGATTGGAGATGAAGGTTTAGAGATCATACAGGGGAAACAGGAAGAGCTTATAGAGCAGATCAAAGAGCTTGAGGCTTCCAGACTGAAAAATGAGACTCAAATTTCTCTTCAGAAGGAAGAGATTGTGGAGCTGAGGAATGAACTTGAAGCTACAACAAAGAGGAAGAACGATGAAGTTGTAAAACACAAGGAAGAGATCGAAGAGCTTAAGAAAGAGCTTAGTTCTCAGTCAAGTGAGACAGAAGTGACTGAGCTGCGAATGGAGATAGCAGGGCTCGAAGATAAACTGCAAGGATTTGAAGGACAGGATGTGACAGAGTTAAGAAGGGAGATAACTCAACTGAATGAGGAGACAACAACTAAGGATGGGGTAATACAGAGACTGCAAGAGGAAGTGACAAGTCTGAGGCAGGAAGACACTGCTGATACTGAATCTGAACTTGAAAGTCTTCGTGAGGAAGTTGTCCAACTCAAACAGGATCTCCATGATGCAAGGACTACTGAGCCTAGAATACGTCAGACAGAGGCAGAAGGAGCAACTATGGAATTACCTACTCAACAGAGCCAGCAGAATATAACAGCTGAGAGTGTAAGCACAGTCTCTCAGGGCAAATTGGTTGGATTGGTGCCCCAAACAAGTATGTCGGAGACTGAGCCTCGTGAGGTGACAGAAGAGCAGATTCTTCCAGAGATTTCAGAGAGAATCCGTAGTCCTCCCTCAGGTAGAGACTCTGAGGAGACAATTGAGGCCCTGGAAAGTAAAGTCCGGAGTCTGGAGAAGGAAGTGGAGACAACCCAGGCTTTAAAAGAAAAAGTTCAAGGTCTAGAAGAAGTAGTTAAGACTACCAAGGGCCTGGAAGAAAAAGTTCGCAGTCTAGAAAAAGAAGCTGAGACAAGCCAGACCTTGAAGGAGGAAGTCAGCAAATTGGAAAAGAAAATTGCTAACTACAAAAGTCAAGAGGAGAAATTGCAGGGTTCAGCAAGTATATCATCAAATGAAAAATCTGAGGATTTTGAGATAAAGATTAAAGAACTGGAGGAGGAGCTTGATAAGTACAGAGGATTAGAGGTGAGTCAAGTTGTGGAGGATCTGAAAGAAAAGGATGAAGAGATCTCCATTTTACGGGAGGCTTTGAATGCAATGAAAAGTGGGGAGGAGGACCTCAACAACCTCTTACGGGAGAAAGACGACAGCCTCATGGAGATGGAGGGCAAGCTTGAAGGCATGCGAACTGATGGAGAAGTGTCAGAGGGTGACAAGCTTCTACAGGACAAAGTTAAAGAGGTGGTCCGCCTTCAGCATGAGCTTGTAAGTATTAGGCAAGAAATGGAAAGCAAAGCAAAGGCAGATATTGCAGTTATGGAAGAACAACTGGCAAAGAGTCATGAAGAGGGACGTGCACTCCATGGTGAAGTTGAATGGCTCCAGCAACAGGTGGACTCTCTGAGGGAGATGAAACTACAAGATGGTGATAGAAAATTTGACTTGGAGGAGAAGGAGAAGATGATAGAAGACTTACAGCGGGAAGTCACAGAGCTAAGAAGTCAAGCCAGTGAGTGGACCCCAGAGGAGAGGTCTGATGGCATGGTTTCAGAGTCAACAGAACAGAAGATGCATGATGTTACAGCCCACCTTGCAGCCAAGGAAAGCGAGTACAAGACACTTCAGGATGAATATCTCCAGGCCACAGCACAGCTTTCTGATGCTATCACCACACTGCAACAAAAGGAAGAGAAACTGTCACAGACTTCCGCACAACTGTCAGAGCGCGAGGAACAGCTTCATTCCCTCCAGGGCGAGCTTCAGCTTCTGCAACAAGAGAGTGACGAAAATCACATACAGGAGCTGAAGTCTGAACTACAGGAAGTGAAGCGTGACATGTCTCTCCTCCAGACAGAGAAAGAGGCAGAATTTGAGGACATGAAAGAGAAGCTAACACAAGCAGTGGAATTTAGTGAGGCACAGCTACAACTGGTCGAAGAGAAGGAGGAAGATTATGTGAAACTGAAGCTGGAGATGCAAGAAGCCAATGTTAACTATGACAGAGCCGTCAGGGTAAGCATTTTAAGTAATGGTGAGGAGTTAACTTATCGAATGAAAGAGTGTGGTAGTGTCCAAAGGTCAGAGGTCAGAACTATGAAGATTTGTTTGGATAAGTTTAAGGATATTTTGGAATTCATTAACTTGTTTAAAAAGTCTGATAATAAGCTATAGAAATTGAAATTTCAGTAACTATTCACATCAAAAATGTATTACAGAAATCACCTTGCACCTCTTTTGTGATATTGCAGGCACTAGAATGTCTGCTTTAAAAGTCTTGTAATATAATAATTGATAAGCTTAAGTTTAAAATTGATTTTGTGTGGTGTTAGGATCTGCAACAACAGCTGGAAAGGTCTGAGGCTGAGAGGGAGGATGAAGTTACTAGTGTGAAAAACACTGCCAACATGGCCCATGCTCAGCAGCAGAAGGTCATCTCCGACTTACAGAACCAGATTCAGCAGCTGAAGGCTGTGACCGAGTCCTCTGTTGGAGCAGGAGATGCTGTAGCTACTGTCACCAGTCTACAGACAGAAATCAGGGTTAGTATTTTAAAGAATGATTTGTTTTGTGTTTTATCTCTGTAGTTTCAACAAATTTTCTTACAAGAATTCAGCAAAAAGTTGGAATATGAACTCTGTCAATGATATTTCCCATGATAGAATTATGAACAGTAATTTCAAATGAATTGTTTATCTTTAAAAGATTTACTTTTGAACTTTATATTGCTGTGTAATTGTTGTTACCAAAAAATCTATGTTTTTCACAAGGAACAGTTTTCATTGAATATTTTTGCAAAACAAAATTGTGAAAATTTATTTTCTTCAAGGAAAAGAATGAAGCAGTTGAAGTCCTTGAGAAAGAGTTAGAAAAGTCAAAACTAGCTGTGGAAGAGAAAGCTGAAGAGCTCGAAAAAATTCTTGAGGAGCTTCAGAGAGTTCGTACATCACAGGTAAGAAATGAAGAAGAGCTTGAGGCAAAGGCTCAGGAACTTGACTTAGTTTATGCTGATTTACATAACAGCAAGCAAAGTCTAAAGACCACAGTTGATGAGCTTGAGAGGAAAGCTCAGGAGCTAGAGACAAGAGCTCAGGAGGTAGCCAAGCTCAGAGGTGAGCTTGATCAGTCATCTGGGATCGGACTTGACCTAGATATAGATGTCATACCGGAAGTGGCACAGAAACGAATCAGTAGCCTTCAAATGGAGCTCAACATGTCCAAGGCCGCCTTGCTGGAGCTTCAACAGCAAGACACATCAAAGGTAAGTGAAATTCTGACATCTAGGTGCTCCAATTCATAAACAAGTTACTGATTTCCTTGGTCTTTACAACCTACCTGCTTATATACTTATCCATCTGCTGTTCTTCGACAGGTTCTTTGAAAATATCCATAAATTGCTCTAAAGTTTAATTTTCCACTGGTGCATAAATTCCTGTTTTCTAGCCACAAGATGTCAGCCAGGTGCAGAGTGTTGATGGAGAACAGAGGGAGCCACCTGTCCTTCGTCTCCGTAGTGACAGCCAGGAAAGTGAGGAAGATTTTTCAACATTAGATACTGCAACACTGCGACTAAAGATGGTGGAACTCACGCAGGAACTTAAGCAGACATCATCAGAGCTGGAACTCTTCCGATCTTCTGCATCACTCACAGCGAAAGATTATGTCAGGGTAGGTTTTGTTAAGACTATTATTAGCTGGACCTTTTTGACCAAATTTGTGAAAGGATTTGAAACACTTATAATACTGTGATTAAGATATTCTGAAGTCGTTTTGTGATAGCTGCACTAATAAGAACCGTTTGACACTAATTCTGTATTATCGATTTGGTTTTCTTGTTTATATCCTTGTTCCTTTTACTGTACAGAAAGTGATGGAGCTGAGAGAGGAGCTTTCTCATCAGCACCAGCGACACATACACGACATTCAGGAGCGTGCACATCACGAGAAAGACACCACACTCATGCAGCTTCGCATTCGTTACGATGATGAGATTGAGCATCTGCATGTACTACAGAAAAAGGAACTGGAGAAAAAGGTGGGAGAAGTCAAGCGTGACTTGGATAAACAGCATAAAGCGGAAATCAACCGATTAGTGGCACGACACAAACAGGAAATGGACCTGGCCAAAGTCCAGGAACCTGTCCTAGGTAAATAGGGGTCAAAGGTCTGCAAAAGACACACAAGTGAAAAGCTTCTTTCAACACTTTCAAGAATTTGATCAGTTCAGTCAAATACTGAAATAAACAACGTCATACTTGTCAGTGATACTAAGTCTATGATTGTGTAGGTTGTGTTTGTATGGTATGTGTACTAATTTTTGCCACATGCAAATTTATTTAAGATTGTTTTGTTTCATTTGAGATGAAGTTGAGAGGTAGAAAAAACTCTTGTGTCAGGTGGGAAGATTTAGTTATTGTCTGTTGATGTAGAATAAACATGCTTTGTCTTTCCCCGATCAGATATGAGAAGGAAAAGAGCCACCAGACTGACCACGTGGGTTTTCCGTTGGTCCTCTAGTTTTCTCCTACACCTATCACATGCTTTCATCCAGGTCAACAAGTGGGCTTATTTAAGCTGATCTCTCTTTACAATGGATTTTTCAACAGATCTTTAAAAGAAATTTTTTTATCTCTTTCCAGCACATGATCACTCTACCATGGAACATGTGGAGAGATTGCAAGCAGAGATCTCTTTATCGGAAAAGTTAGACAATCGTTTACGACAGTCATTGTCTGACACTGCCCAAGGTCAAGGTCAAGCAGACACCGGTGATGCTGGCAGTATTGCTGCTTCCACAGCAACTGACCTTTCTTTCAATGAAAACGTACCAGCACGCCTTCAGGTACAGGAGACTTAAAAGAGAAAGAAAAATTGGTATTGTTTTGTTAGTAATAATTATATATAATTTTATTTCTACTGTTACATCATGAAGCACTGTCATTGTGTTGCTTAAGAAATTTTTGCCAAAGGCAAGATTGAATGTTTAGAAATTGTTGTTGGAGGGGGAGATTTTTCGTTTTCTTTTTTGTTGGGTTTTTTTTCTGTTTTTAATGTGATATCAACTTTAACTTTGTAAATTATATTTGCCTTGTAACTCAAATGAGCAGTTAAGATTTTTAAGATTATAAGGAAAAAAAAATCGTTATCAATTGTAGAATTTGATGGAACGCCTCCACAAAGAAAACGTCCAGTTACTGAGTATGTCTGAGCTACAGTTCCTGAATCGGCATTTAGGTGCCGATAAGGTGGACAAGGAAGCAGACATCACAGCATTACGGTCCTCCTGGGACAATGAGAAACAGAGTTTAATGTCAGCCATAGGATCCCTCAAGGACCTTCTTTCTCAGACTCACAAACTACGAGGACTGGACAAGGTAAAATTCAACCCACACTAGCAAAGCATCAGTTGATTTTATCAACGGACATCAAATACCCTTTTTTAAAGATTTTTTACTGACTTTTGCGTCAGAAAATTTCTGTTTAGACCTTTCCGGTTTATTTCATGATTAAAAGTAGAGAAAAAAAATGAAGAAAAAGAAAAAAACAAGAAATAAATTTGCAATTCATACAGCAGCATAATATTAAAAACATTTTTCCAGAGAGCAATTTCTGTACAATGGACACTTCTTCCTTCTTAATTGGTTTGGAAAGTATAAACTTCGGTATACAAGTGTACGTCTGTTTCCTTGGTTATTATATGACTTTGTTACCTTTTAAACAGAAAGCAGTTATATCATCCTACATTGTCATTTTATATCATTCTTTTCTTCTTAGCGTGCTTTTTATTAAATCTTACACATCTGTCATTGCTTCATGTGTTTTCTTCGTCAGGATAATGAGGCAGAGTTATCAGACTTTGTAAGTCTTTGTTGTCGTGTTTACAGTTGCAATGTTGTTGATGTTATTTACCAATTTGTCAGAAATAGCACTTAATGCCTTGAAGTTTGTTCTTGTGGGGGTACAGTATTGTACTGTAACGTTCCGGGAGGCTAACTGTTGTTTCTTCACCTGTGTCTTGTATTTGTTTTCACTTTTGGTTTTAAGTTAACATGGAACCTGGACTATTAACCACTTGACATCAATGGTTCTGATATTTAGTAATTACTTAATTACCTGTTAACAGTTTAACAAGTTATTTACATCTTTAGAACTACCATCATCTTAAGCATAATGAAATAAATTTTGAAAGATACCAATAGTCAAAAGGACCCAGTGTGGAATAGAGGTGATGTCCATCTTTGATAGAATTTTGATGTGACCGACAGAATCTCATGAACTGATAAGACAATACCAGTAACACAATATAATCAAAAGTCTAAGATGTTGATTAAGATTTGTTTAATAAGCAATCTTAAAAAGCACTGCAAACATAAATACCCTCTGAGTATGTACATTGACATAGAATTTAGATTGATTAAATCACTCAAGCAACATCTTCTTAAGAACAAAAAAGCCTAGTCTCATGATATATGTCCTGTCTAGTGACTTGCTTGTATTTTGTGTTACAAAGAATATGAAACAAAATGAAATTTATACTCTCTAAATGACTAAGTCTTCTTCTGAAGAACCATAAGTGTAAAAGCATTATCTGTATGTTTGGAATGTAGCTGGAACAATAACATAAAAAATCTTTGAAATCAGATGTACATCCTCAGGCCCCTGGAACCTCTTTTTTTTATTATATTCAGTGTTGTGTTTTGTTTCCTGCTCACTGTAATTCTGATATACAATGTTTGTGTTATATCACTGATCTAGGTTTCAAATTTTCTGTATAAAATACTTTGGCCCAATAATATGCAATCAGAGCATGTAATCTTGTATTATACTAAAAACATTTCTCACACTACAGAACTATATTGACAAGGAAAGCTGAAGTCACTAGATTTATATGTGACATTCAAATTGTTGTACAAATTGACTGACAAAAGAGAAACTTCAAAATATTACTTCAGTTATTTTTCTAATAACTAATTCAAATATTCACAAATAAAGCTATAGGAATATTTCAGTAAATAGTATACAGGGGAAAATCAAGTGATTGAATTAATTCACAATCTCTGTAATTGTATACCAAGGATGGTGAAATCAACTATCACGGCTTGGTGATAGGATTTCATTACGTTTCCAGTATGACTATTTTGTATGTAGTGGGTGTAACAATGCTAACTCAATAATTAAAATGTTTGGTGTGGTTACTTACAAATCAGTCAAGTTTCAAAAATTGTATATCTGAGATGAAGATATTATGTTGTTAAACACATTTGTAGGGTAACATTTTAAATTGTTAAGAAATGTTTTTAAAAATTTTAATTTCTGGTCATTACTTGCTACAAAGTGCAAAAGCAGTTTTTAAATATTCTGTCATGAATGATATTAAATTATGCTTGACCTCAATATTACATGACATTTAGATAATTTCCATATATGATATTTAAGACATGACCTTCATATAACCTTTTTAGATGACCTCTGTAGATAACATTTGACATGACCATTTAACATGACCTCTAAGTGACCTCTGAATTGCTATGACCCTCAGCTGACCTTATTGTTACTTATATGCCTGGTTTTTTTCTAGTCGGCTGAGATCACAGACTGGCGCGGTGAACTATTACAGTCTGTTGGTTATGTATTTGCCAAGGAACGTGAAACATTACTGGCAGAACTCCGCACACATGTGATGTCACACCCAAACACCGATCTCACTGAGATTCATAAACTTGAAAAGAAGATCAGAAACTCGGTAAATAAGTTTCTTCTCATCTTCCTCTCACTAATATCAAATCAGGCTGTATTGTATGTATTGTTCCTACTTTTACTATAGATATACTGTTATAAATCCATATTTAGCTTGTTAGTAGGTTGGTTTGTTCATTCAGGTTTTCTGTCATTGTTCTGGCAACGTCCTGGCAAAGTAATAATCCCACCCATATCTATTACACTTTATCAAACAGTGCTATACAGCTGTCTTGTAGTAAGCCTGACTTTGAGTCTTTGTGTTCGCCCTATGATTATTGTAGGATATATATAATATCTACGGAAATGTTCATGTTGACGGAACTATCCTTCTTGACCAGAATGCATTAAAGTCTTTATTATTATGACCAAGCAAAGTATTTATGCATCATCTACTTAATGAAACAATTGAAAAGATAATTATAGATAACTGAATTTTTTTTTAACGTATAGGAGAGTCACCAGCGATCAGCTTTAGACCAGATCTTCCATGCAGATCGCCAGTCACTGCTAGCAGAGGTACGAGACTTACGGGCACATATAAACATCTGTCAGATACGCAGTCAGGAGGAGCGAGAAAGATTATCGGACCAACTCAATGAGATTGAGGACCAAGGCAATAAACAGGAACGACAACTCAAACGACAGGGTCAGTTTTTATAGACTTAGAAGAGTTGTTTATTTGTATTTTTTTTTTAAAAAGTTTCCTAGCTGGATCTGAGTAGTTGTATAGTTATATGTTTAGCAAGATTTTTTGACATTATCAAACTGTTAGAATTTAAACTAAATGAAGCTTAGTTGTAAAATTTAAAATCTAGTCCCTTTGAAATTATCCATAAATTCCATTCCAAATGAAAAACGGTCTATAAAATCTGTACAAATTTTTTTTTTTTAAAAACATTCACAAATTTATGAAGAATGTGTAAATTTGTTTTACAGTCAAACTCCTGGAGTACAAGCTCCAACAAGAGAAGATTCTACAGGATGATATACGCACTAGTCTGGAAAGCGAACGAGAACGCACTACTGAATTATCCAGCTCTCTCAGTCGTGAAAAGATGAGTAACCTTGACCATCAGACAGATGTGGCAAATCTAAATCTTCAAGTCACCAAACTCAAGGAGAGTTTAGAACGAGAACAGAGTCGTTTCGTCTCTGTAACGTAAGTGTTCAGTTTTGACATCTTAGTTTTTTTTTGTTTTTCATTTCATTATGTGTTGTTTATATATTTTGCCTTTAACATCTTTTTCTTTATGATTTTTTTTTTTTTTTTTTAACTTTTTTTTTTTCGCAATATTTTTAGGATATGATTCAAAACGGTTCATACAAAACCCTTATATACTGAATTGGTGATAACACCTTTTATATATATTTTTTCCATCGTCATCTCATTTTATTTACCTGTGTTTAAGGCCAAATAAATGGTGACTGGTCACGGCTGTCTTATAGATAGTAAAATCTACCAGCATGCCTGATGATTAACCTGGCCTAAGTTTATGTTGATGTTTAGTACTCTATGGTAACAGCGGGAAGGTTTAGTGGTATTTTAATGTTCAAGTTTTAATTTGATTCCAGTCAAAAACAAGTGGGGTAGGTGGTTAATACATAGTCTTTATATACCTACTGAACCCGGTGTTTATACTGCAAATCATGTAATTTTGGCGTTGGATTTAATTTCATAATTAATTGCTGAATTTTAATAAGGAATGAAAATTTCGCAATTTGGTGTTAAAATCGGAATAATTGATTTTGACCATGTCATATTTTTGTCCTTTAAGAGCAGGATCTAAAAATATAAATTGTGAATTTTTATCTTTTAAAGTTTGCTCGTTTAATATTCATTTGGCAATCATATGGTGAAAGTATTGAAAATGAGACGCTGCCAAAAAAAACTGTGACACTGTATATGGTACAGTAGTTGTTATAGAACATTATCTGATTTGCAGTTTCATACTAGAAAAAAACATCTACTTTCATATTTGTTCTATATATTACTCAGAATATCACAGAGGATCTTTTAAAATATAGACTAGCAACACTGTAATATATACGCTGTATATACTCCTAGAAACCAAGGATTATGTTGTAACAATAGAAACAATATATTATTGTTGTAACCATAGAAACAATATATTATTGTTGTAACCATAGAAACAATATATTATTGTTGTAACCATAGCAATTGTATTGATCTGTAAGAAGACCCTTTTGATGTTGTAACCATAGTTTAGGTAGATATGTGTATATAGACATGTATGTATACAATATTCTGTGAATCTCTTTTCTCTACAGCCATATGTGGGATGCTTTAGTGTAAGTTAGTGACCATTCTAGCTGATTGGTCAAAATTGTCAGCTGTGTTGATTGGTCGGAATGCTTGATGTTAACATTTGTAGTCTTGCGCATGCATATGTTGTATTAGAATCGTGTAGTTGTGACACTGGTCCTTACTTTCCTTCAACCATTCAGAAACATAGAGAGAAATGCTTAAATTCATTTTTTTTATAGAAAGTGTTTAGGCAGAATACCAGGAACTGCTTTATTTTCTTGTAACTCAGATTTCGTAAACATGTTGAAATTATTTCTGGAAATCTTTGAATATTCATGATTTCTTTGATTTCAAATTTGATACAAAGAGAATGATTTTATAAAAAGAAAATTCAAATGTATTTTGATCTTTCTACAAGAGGAAAGGTATTTGTTATATTATTAACAGCAGTTGGCAAATGAAACTCAAAATATATGTCCCGGCCATGGCATGCCAACAGTGCTAATCCAGTGGACCCATGTTACATCCTGTCAATAGTACATTGTGTACTGTGTTTTGTTTTAGTGCATTGACTCATCATAGCTTTTTGACTGTGTGAACTGATGTTGATAAGAATAGGCTAATGCCATAGTGCAGTGATGGCTTTGCATGCCCAATTATTGGAATGAAATCAGTTTGATGATGCTGTGACAAGTTTGGCTTTGTGTGAATCTAAAACCTACATCATTTTCCTATGGGTCATCCGTGGCTGTTCTTCGGAAATCAAAACTAGCTGTAATGACCTCGTTAGCTATGAATTGATTGTTTTCACATTTTTTTTTTTATATTTATGACTCCTGTTGATTTGCATTTGTGTTTTTTAATACAAAATTTAATTTTCAATTAACAGTGGTATTTACAACGATATTTTTGCTTTGGGGTAATATATTTATCAATTAGAACATTTTTATGACATTTTCACTCCTGTGTGTTAATAAATGATCCTTGTAATCATCTCCCTGTTTCTTTCCTAGAAAAACCTGATTATCAGAATAATTACACTAACACACTCTAATACTGTATCTACATTTCCCCTCGTGATAAATCAGGGTTATACTTATTACACAGTAGTAGTGTACAAAATGAAACACTATAGCAAGAATATTAGAGAATCCAAGAACTGATCTCCGAGAAATTTACCTTAAATTGCTCTTTGGTAAAGAGAGACACATTAACATGCTTGTGTTTAAATGAAAGTAATTTGGTGTTTATGCAGTTACCATGGAAACACATTACTCCCATATCACGTATGCTGTGACAAGTGTGCATTCTGTGTGTCTTCACTTCTTTGGTGTGTCTGTTCACCTCTGCCTGTGTGAAATCTTATATCACCTCACTTTCCACTATCCTTATTGTTCAGAAGATACACTGAGTGACCTCTACCTGTAAACTGGACTTACAAATTAACAACCACTCCATCCTATTTAAAACGTATAGGAAATGGAATTGACTGTAGTGTATATAAATCACAGAGCAAGCGATTTTATAAAGAAAACAGCCAATTTTTCTGGTAAAAAAAATCATGAATTGGTTATTACCAAGAGGACTTTGCATGGTTTTTGCCTTCTAACTTTCAAATCCATCAAATTTTTTCAATTCGGTGTATTTCTAATTAAGAATATTACCCTGATTCCTCTATAACGATATTCATTAGTTATTTCAGCTATGGTTGCCATGGTGACCACAAATTTGCATAAATAAGAGGAAAAAAAATGAACATTCAGCCAATTTTATCATTTTTTCATTCAGATTTTACTTTACAGAATGAATATTGCTTTGATATATTTTCTCTACTAATGGCTTGTATCGAAATTTCCATCAGAATACTTAAGATTTTTGTTTGAAGTATGATTATCAATGCTGAGTTTTTGTAACTTCCAAATGTTTTGTTCTCCCTAAAAATATTACCAGTCATGAAGTTAACATGTAAAATGAATTATAGATTGATCACATGCTCTGTCACATGACGTCATACTTTACCATTTGAATTATCACATGTTCTGTCAAATGACTTCATATTTTAACCATTCTATGATCATTGGTTTGGTTTGAATTAAAATTAAAAGCAAGCATTTGATGTGCTAACTTTTATCCAAATAACTCAAAACACTATAGTATTAACGTATTCATTCAATTTTTTTTTATTTACAGTTGCCAATTGACACTCCTCAGTTACGCAGTTTTTCTCAGAAAATAAATATCAGACAAAAAAAGCATCCTCTTTCTATTCTATAAAAAAAAAAAAAAGATGATGAATTATTAAAGTAATGTGCTTTTGTTTTAGTTTGAGATATTGATTGATTGGATTGTTGTATTTATAATTTGGAATTTTATTTATGGTTGGTTGGTTGTACTATGTAGGGGTGCCCTGGAGGAGGAGAAGGGAAAATGCCACACTCTTGGGGAGAGGTTAGAAGCTGAGAAGTACAAAGTTCGCGACCTTAAGAATGACCTTGAAGATGCTAAGGTCAGGTCAGAGGTCAGGGATAAAATCAACAGCACCATTGAGGTAAGGATAGAATTTGTATGCTCTTAGCTGGCCATTAAATGATGGAAATATTTTATGATGTACATCAGTTGTTTGTCTTTAAGAATATCAGAATGTCTACCAGTTTCTATAAATAGAATCACACAGAAAATTCCTTCATATACTTTACTAAGGGAAATTTTTTGTTGATAGCCACTTAACTACACACATGTCATGGAGTCAGACTATTTTCAGAAATTACAAAAAACACAACTGTAATTCTGTTTATTGTTTTGGAACATAGTTGACGATTGACTTTCTTTTTTTCCAGAAATTGGAATCAGACCTGATGACAGAGCGTGACCTGAGAATAAAGATGGAGAATTCTCATGAATTAGACAGAGTGAAGATCAATGCCCTTCAACAGGATCTCAATACAGAACGCAAAAACTTGCAAATGTTTGAGGCAGAATATGAAACAAAAGTGACAGAATTAAAAACAGCTCTAGAGCTAGAGAAAATCCGTGCTGCTGATTTAGTCAGGTGAATTCCTTGTTTCACTTAAATTTTTCACATCCGTTGCAAACTTACCACCAAATCACTATCCAAAACAATGTTAAATATGTATGTTGAAGTCAATGTCTGCTCCGTCTTGTCTCGTTTTGTCTGTCTACTTTTGTAGGACATCTGCAGTAAAATAAACTTAGTAAACATGTGTATAAGAAAGTTGTTTGTGTTAACAGTGCACTTGAGAAGGAACAGACTGCCTGCCATAATCTGAGACAGAGTTTGTATGAACAACAAAATTCTGCAGAAAAATCAGACAACAAAGGTATTGTGGAAGACCTCCAGGTTGCCTTGAAAACAGAAAAGGCTTTGGTGATGGATTTACGTGGCGCACTCGAACATGATAAACATCGCATGGCTGGGATGGTTGCTGCTGTGAAATCGGAACGAACGGCAATGCAGGATGAACTTCAACAAGAAAGGGAGACAACTCGCCAGATAAAACATGACATTGATACCCTACAGGTAAATTTTTGAATTTCAGATAGAAAATTAAGAATGTTTGTAGATGTAAAGTGCTGTGTTAGCTCTGTTAGAAAATTACTGAAAATTATCTTATTGTTTAAGCATATCTTAATCTGTGATAAATACAGGTTTTGAAGATGTTCTCCAAAGTTTTTATCATTTTACATTTCATTCTCATACATCTGTTTCATTTTTCTTAAATTAAAATGGATTAAATCCATTTTAAAAAAGTACTTTCACTGTAACTGTTTCCTTTATGTTGTCTTTTCGTGATCATTAACATTGCTTGTGTCTACATGTTCTAACATCGTTATAACTAAGCAATAGTATCAAGTGTAGAAAATTCTCAGAAGTAACTGCATGACTTCAGAAAAGCTTTATCTTCCTGTAGAGTCGTTTTATTAAAAGTGTAGCTGTTTTAGAATACTTACCTTGAAATGATAATAAAAATGATGGTAATTTTAAGCTGCCATGAGAGAGAAGATTATCTCCCTTCATTTTATTGGCATTATGACTTGTGCTTGCTTAGGTGTATAATCTGATAAAATGAAAAGGTTTTTTTTGCTGTATGATGTAACAAAATGTTGAAGGTGATGTAGAAATTATAAAAATTTACTTTAAATTGTTTTGTCTGAAGACAAAATAACAATTTACTTTAAATTCATTTGTCTGAAGACAATATAACAATTTACTTTAAATTCATTTGTCTGAAGACAAAATAACGATTTACTTTAAATTCATTTGTCTGAAGACAATATAACAATTTACTTCAAATTTCGTCGTCTGAAGATGAAATAACAATTTACTTCAAATTCCTTTTCTGAAGACCAAAAAAGTCTTGTTTTCTATAAGTTTAACCATTTAGATTATTTCATATTATCCATAGCAGTTTCTATTGCTGTATCACCACACATAATTAGCCCTGTAACCCATATACTCTGGTGCTCTTGATAGATATATGAGCTGGCAGTGATATAGAATTTGTTGGTATTATAACAAAACTGTAATAGATGTGAGTGGGCTTATAAGGTATAGGCATATTGCTAAATGTTGATTTTTTACACATTAAAAGGTTTCTCTTCTCAACCACTATTCCACAAAACTTCTGTGACCCACTCACTAAGGGGGGAAAAATGATAAACATGGGCTCATAATGAAAATTTCTTGTAGTAAAATTTTAAATACAAAATGAAAAAAGTTCTGTGGACAGGCAATCCAAACATCAGGTTCAATATAATTATGTCAATGAAACTAATTTTTTCTTTATCATAGTAAATAAAAATTTAAAGATAAACATTGACTTGACCCTGATCAAGCTAGACAAACATCTCCTGGACCTTGTAGCTTCAGAATCTGGAGTTCACTCGCATGTTCGAACGCGAGCGGGAACAGGTATCACGCCTGAAAGCTGAGCGGGAACAACTACGGTCAGAAGTAAAAGCCATCCAGGATGCAGATAATGAACGGGAGCGACTTCGGGACACAGAGAAACTGTCAGAAAGACGACGGCTAAGACAAGTGGAGCGAGAGAGGGATGATCATAAAATGAAACTGGTAAAAAAACCATTCTACCTTTGGAAAGTTTTCAATTACTGGATTGGAATTTTGCTCGCTTACGTATCTGAGCTGAAACAGCATGATCAGGCCAGGCTTTTATCATTTGAGGATTTAGCTTGTATTGACAAGTGTATAAGCTAATCCAGCCCTGGAATTGGAACTGGGAAATGTTGGGAAATGTGGCACATCTGATCATCTAGAAATAAAATTTTCATTCCCATCCGCTTTTAGAAATTATTTGGGGCATGCAGCCAAAGTACAATGAGTACCCAACATATTTACAAATTAAAAAAAATTAACACAAATATACTCTGTCGTCTTTATCATCAATTAACGCTAACAAAAATGAAAATTATTTCATCCATACCTGTTTTAATATGTTTTCCTACATATACTTCATGCATTTCATTTAACTCCTATTTGTATAGAAATCTAAGATTTGCTTTTTAATTGCTTTTTGATGTGAGTCTATATTCTGTTGCTTTATGTGTTATTTTGCTATGTTGTTTGCTTTGCTGTATACAGCATCGGATGATGTGTATGGTGTATACATTTGTCTGCATAGTTTTACAAAATAATAGTAATTTGATGAAACCATGTAAAAAAATTTACAAAAACTTACTGCTTCTTCAAGTTCAAACTGCATGTTGAAATATTTAGAAATATTATCTTTATCAGAATCAAATACACCTTTATTTGCTTTTCCATGCCAACATCATTTTATGGACTTTTTCTTGTTTTCTTTTAAACATTACCAAATTTATGTTGCATTTTGAACTGAATTATTTTCAAAGCAAAATGTTAGGCTCCTGTTCCATCATCGATGAAGGGCAAGGGGGACACAAACATTGTCTACTTGGTACTAAAGTAAGGATAAATATTTTATCTAATTACTGATTGGCTGCAATTCTCTGCAATCTTGAATTAAAATAGAAATTCAATGACAACTTACTGGGTGTTGATTGAAATCTAGAGCTTAAAAGTGATAATGCATCAGAAGTCAACCATTTACATAACTTAGATTCATCACTTGATTGACATTTTAATTTAGGGGGTAAGTTCCACAGAGAAAAAGTTTTTGTAGATACAATTTGTTCCATGTTTGAGTTGAAAACCTTAAATAACATTATACCTATACTTTACTTTATGCCACAACAATTTTAATTTTTGTTGTAATTTTGAAAAAAATTTTGTACAGGGTTTTTATATAGGTTTTAGTTATTGATCAAACTGTACTAAGATACCAACAATGGTAAACAAACAAAATTAAATGAACTACAACTGAGAGGGTTTTACAGTAAAATTTTACTTGTTATATTCTTATATCAATTTCATTGCATTCAGGATGATTTTGTTAATAAATTTATTTTCCTATGAAAACTACACTTCATGGTTTTTAATGTGAGACCCATTTGCTTTGATTCCTTTATATTTATTATATTTTTATTGATATATTTATTATGGGTCTATTCATCCATTTCATTATTACGTATGTATTCAATAATTCTATACCCAGCATGAGCAGACATTGGAAGCACAGAGACTAACACAGAAGGTGCTGGACCTACAGGACCAACTGGCTCAGAGCCGGGAGAAGGAATTGGATGCTATCCGTGACCTGGAGCAGGAACGCTTGTCAACCATTCAATCTCAGTTCTATGACGGGGTAAGGAGAAAACTTATTAGAAAAAAATTCCATGTTGGGTCAAGGACCTGGGAAGGGAGACAACTTATTGGAAAAAAAATTCATATCAGGTCAAGCACCTGGGAAGGGAGACAACTTATTAGAAAACAATTCAACATTGGGTCAAGGACCAGGGAAGGGAGATAACTTCTTAGAAAACAATTCAATCTTGAGTCAAGTACATGGGAAGGGAGATAACTTCTTAGAAAACAATTCAACATTGTTTTTTTGATAGATTACAGAGAAAGATGTCATAAGGAGTTTTTCCTGATATGAGTTATAAACTACTGTTAACATACATCCTTTGGTGTTAATTTTGAAAATTTTCCATAATCAGGATTACAGTAAATAAAGTTTACTTTCATTTGTATGTATGTATATATGGTAGGTATTGGTATTCCAATTTATTGGCACATTTCCATTTGTTGAAATTGTAAATGTTGATTTGAATTTCACTGATTTATATATGTTTATAATAATTCAGTACTTCACTAATGATTTGAACATCTACAGTTCCAGCACAATGGCTCCCCGCGAGGGACACCAAACACAAATCATGATCAGTGGAACGTTTACAAGGCTCAACTCCAGAGTTTAAGTCAGAGTCTACAGTACCTTATCCTACAGTACCGGGACAGTCTGGACCGCAGCTCAAAGTAAGTCAGTCTGGACCGCAGCTCAAAGTAAGTCAGTCTGGACTGCAACTCAAAGTAAGTCAGTCCTACTCTGTAGACAGTCTGGACCGTAACTCAAAGTAAGTCAGTCCTACCCTGTAGACAGTCTGGACCGCAGCTCAAAGTAAGTCAGTCTGGACCGCAACTCAAAGTAAGTCAGTCCTACTCTGAAGACAGTCTGACCGTAACTCAAAGTAAGTCAGTCCTACCCTGTAGACAGTCTGGACCGCAGCTCAAAGTAAGTCAGTCTGGACCACAACTCAAAGAAAGTCAGTCCTACCCTGTAGACAGTCTGGACCGCAGCTCAAAGTAAGTCAGTCCTACTCTGTAGACAGTCTGATCGTAACTCAAAGTAAGTCAGTCCTACTCTGTAGGCAGTCTGGACCGCAGCTCAAAGTAAGTCGGTCTGGACCGCAACTCAAAGTAAGTCAGTCTGGACCGCAACTCAAAGTAAGTCAGTCCTACCCTGTAGACAGCCTGGACCGCAGCTCAAAGTAAGTCAGTCCTACCCTGTAGACAGTCTGGACAGCAGCTCAAAGTAAGTCAGTCCTACTCTGTAGACAGCCTGAACCATAACGTAAAGTAAGTCAATCCTACTCTGTAGACAGCCTGGACCGTAACTCAAAGTAAGTCAGTCCTACTCTGTAGACAGCCTGGACCGTAACTCAAAGTAAGTCAATCCTAAATCTGTAGACAACCTGGACTGTAACTCAAAGTAAGTCAATCCTATCCTGTAGACAACCTGGACTGTAACTCAAAAGTAAGTCAATCCTACACAATAGCCAATCTGGACCATAGCTTTGAGTAAGTAAATCCTACATTTTGGGGAAAAAATATTTGGAAAATTGTCCAGCTATGCAGCAACAGATCTTTCTAAAATTTTGTGGAAATGACCAGTGCAATATGTAAATGTGACCCTTAAGTGACATTCCAAGCATTTTGAGAAATAGCCATTTTCTTAGCATCCAATTAACTTGAGATTTGATTCATACCTTTCTTGAACAGTACATTTTAACATATAAGACAAGTTTTCTCCTTCCTTTTTTGAAAATTTTGGTAACCATGGTAACTGTAAGCAGGTTTTACCATAAATGCCCATAAAACCATGGTCATACAACAGATTTTATTATTTGACTACATGGTATAACTCATTAAAGCTTTAGAAGGATACACTAGGTGTTTGGGAAACAGTAACTCTACAATCCAATCCTGGCCACTGATTGGTTAAAATGTACATAATATCTGATTTGGTATATAGGGTTAAAAGAGGATCCAAGATATTGCTGTTTGCGTATCATTACCGTGATAATCATGCTAAGGCAAATGATGGCCTCTGATTGATTGAAATTAAGAAAATTAACCAGTTTTGACCAAATTAGGTTTATAAGGGCATTAGGGGATGCCAAACATCACTGTATATGTTTTATTTTCATGACAACTATGCTGAGGCAAATTGTGGCCACCTATAGGTAGAAATCTGATTTTGTCTGATTTTGTATAAAGAGATATTAGGAAATGCCAAAAATATATTTTGAGGTCTTTTCATCTGTAGGGGATATTAGTTATCCTCAGGATGATAGTTCTAGTTAGATTAGACGGAAGCAAGAAGATATCTGTATATTGTTTTTTATTTTTTAGATCGGATGGAAGCAGGGAAATGCAACATGCACTTAGTGACCTTCTCAGTGAACTGAAGCAACTACAGATGCCACTAGAGTTTGAGTCACAGGTAAGTCAACCTAATCTCAAAGTCGTTCTGTTCCTGTATCTACTTGTACTATACACTATGAATATCTCTTGGACTGTGTATAATCATTGTATCAGTATATCTTACATGCATGATGGAGTATATAGAGATATGCTGTCTACATGTTCCCATGCCTCATTGCTTAAGAATTAAACCCCTTTATTGTTACTATCCTGATTCAGAAGACTGCCTGAAATTCAGCCTTGTATAAACAAAGCAGATTTTGTGTAAAAGACATATTCGTTTATAAAATGTGTCCTCTCTTAAACTTTGTGACTCAGTGTTACAGAAAAAAAAACTGCATTTAATTTTGTAGTTCAATGCTCATGTTGGCATTTCTCATATGATTTGGTTTATGTAAATTCAAATTAGATATTTATGTTCAGATATTATTTATAACAAAATACTGAACAGTTGTTTTGATGATATACTTTGGGTGACAGATGATAGATGATGGTTTACAGTCAATTAAATTACCCTTTTCACAAACTAGTTTGTGTTGGTGTCACGGATACAAAGATATGGATACATTGTTATAGCATTGTTTGTTTTGACAGAATGAGTCTAACCTCTTGGCACGACCAAATCCTTCTGTAATCAACGAACGAGTACTTCGTCATAATGCCGATCTTACCAGTTTTGTGACACGTCTGACTGAGGAGAAGATGGATCTACGCAACTCTCTTGGACAAATGGAAGAACAGCTGTGGCACCAACAACAAAGGGGGACAACTCACCAGGTATCTACAGTTAAACTCACTTGATTATGTACAAACATTTCTATCCTGCATAGAACATTATTTTGTATGTTGATTCTGTTTATTTTGGGGTTTTACTCTTTTTATATTCTTGATTGTAAATTTTTCTCTTCGTCAATTCTTACAGAATGGAAATACAACTGACGGTGCTACTAACCAGTTCGAGGAACGTGCAAACTGGGCCAAAGAGAGGCTGTCCCTCCAACTGACACTTAATGATGCTGAACAACGCATTGACCAGCTTACAGCTAATCTGAGAATGGAGCGTGACCGACGGTCAGTGATGGGCAGCAGTGGTTCTGAGTCTGACAGAGAGAAGGTTAGTAGTTGCAGTTTTTAATATGTGAGACAGTTCGATCTGTTTTTTCTTATTCCAAAATTGGCCTATTTCTCTAAAATCCAATGTCATTTCATTTTTTACCTAAAGGTATTTTTTGAAAAAAAAACAAGAAAATACTAAAAATAATGCATTTTCACGTAAATTGTAAATATGCAGTACTAACCATTACATCAAAACCAATAAAGTTTTCACTCATCCTCACGTAACAAAAGTTCGATTTACTTTATATTTATTTCACTTGTTGGTGTCAAATGTCTATGGAGATCATTTAGTGTACTTACAATTACTGACAGGATGGAGTCAGAATCCAGGTCAATGCTTAAGTGACAAAGGTTAACTTGTGTCTCATTGTACACTATTGCAGTAATTACTACGTATCTTCATTACTGTGTATGGTCTAAGATAGTGTATAGCTTTTCTGGTAATGATGAAGAATGCTAAGGGAGCTGCTTATACAGAAAATTAACTTCAAACATTTGTTAGCTCCAGTCTTGTAAATCAGAAGTGTAAAATATAACGAGTTTATAATGCATAAGTTTATCATATGTTTTTGTGATGCCCAAAATTCATGGTTCTCCAAACACACACAAAAATTCTTTGACACTGATATCAAAGATAAGAAATGTTTCATGTAACTTTAAACTGTTCTTCATTTCACAGAGATATAAGTTTGTCGTATAATTTGTTTAAAAGCCCATTTAGCTGTGCAATAGTTAATTGTTGGCTTTAGTGATATGTTGTATACATGGGTATATTTTGTAGATCCAGAGACTTTATGGTAAATATCTGCGAGCCGAAAGTTTCCGGAAGGCATTGGTATACCAAAAGAAGTACTTGCTGTTACTGCTTGGCGGATTCCAGGATTGTGAAGAAACAACTCTTGCCATGCTTGCCCAAATGGGCGCATATCCCTCTCCCGAGGACGTGAATCAACATCAACACCGACGACGTCCCTACAACATCTTTAGAAGTGCGGCAAGAGTCATTGTTGCTGTTACTAGGTCAGTGAACTTTGATATTCAAGAATTTGACTTTTAACTACATGTATGTATATTCTCACTGGTATAATATATATTAAATATTTGTTAAATGATTTCATAAAAGTTGTTTCCAATTCCAAATTGATATAAGTCATTTCTCAGGTGATTTTTGTCAAAGTTGATACAAGGTTAAGTGCATGTCCCTTGGATGACTTTGTATCTCTGGGCAACAAGGCCAAGATCATCAAAACCGTTCATAGAAATCATGATTCATGGAAGGGATACATTTCTTCACTTTAGATTTTATGTATAATGAACCATGTTCTCTTTTTGCAAAACATGTGTACCTGTAACTCAATTTAATGTAGCAGTATAAATTGGGTTATTGTTGCTTTATATTCTACTAATAGTCAAGGTCATGTAAGGTTTGAGGGGCAGAGAAAAACCAATGTTCCTGGAGAAAAAATTGTTGAAATGAATATGTTGTACACCATGATGAAATGTAAAACGCATTAAGCATGCAAAACACAAAAATGTTTGTGAAATTATTATCTAAATATTTATTTGTAATAGGATGAAGTACCTGGTGAAGAAATGGCGACGGGCCACAAGAGTCGGCTCTCCTGTAGTGGGTGGATCTGTCAACACTCAACAAGGTAGATAACTCCGTTGTAATAGCTTAACTTTATTGTAATAACAATAAAAAGTGTGAATAAAGTTATATGGAAAAACAACCTATCAGAGTGACATTGTAAACATTTTGGGTATCTGTTAAGCAGTGCCTCCTTTTCATATTTTTTAATTAAGCCCGATTTTAAATTTTTAGTGAGAGAAAATTATTAAAATATTTGGAATGAGTGTACACTACAAACTCTGATAGATGTTTCCCCATTAAACATTCATATCAATAATTCTAATCAGTGATGATATTTACGTCAAATATGAATACTATCAATTAACATTTCGTTGAAACTCTTCCTTTAATTTTAAATTTCTTTTAAAGATAACAAGAATAAGTTTAAAGTTATTCAGTTTTGGGCTTTAACAACTAAAGGTCTCCTTCAAAATAAATTTTAAACAATCTTTTAAAATTTGTTTGTTTTTCAACCATTTCAGCCTACATGCCAACTGATGGTAGTTTTTCACCCCCAAGACTAACTAGTGGGCGGAATTTCTCTCCTCCTAGGATCAATGGGTCGCCTCCATATAACTCAAACACATCAATGACACGCCCATCCCAAGTCACATTTTCAGCATCCTTACCTCCAGGAGACTCTGACTCAAACTCTCCATCCTCCTATCAGCCCATAGCATCTCGCCCTTCTGCCGCAGTAGGATCAACTCCCCCTACAAAGGAATATAGTCTGACAAGACATGTCGCCTCCCGTGACTCCAAATCTGGTGCTAGAAGGTGAGTGTTGGGTTTTCTAAACTTGAAATATAATCATAACTAGGGCTCCTCTAATATACATCTACTCCACTCAAGGATTCGACTTATAGTTTTAGGGTACCAACCTGGAATATGATTTGATATAGATGTTAAAGCAAGGAAACCAAAACATGGATAGAAATGGTTTATTAAAGGAGGTCAGTCAAATAGATGTTGTAATGCAATAGTTCTCTTGTCTATTGATAAATTAAAAAGAGATGCAAATTGATTATGACTTATTAGATATTTTATTTAGATTGGTCCTTTCTCAGTTCTTATTTGTTACAGGGGCACTTGATCAATGTATTGTCATCGTTTTACTTACAATGGTCTCTTTTATTTTTTTTGCCAGAAAACTTTTATCTTTATCTCATCAAACTAAACCAAGTTCACACAGTTCTGAAAGTTCCCATGGAAATCAAGGTGCCACATCACGACAGTCTGAACAGCCTAAAGAAGCTCTCCATGACGACTACATTAAGCGTTTAGAGAGTCTACAAAAAACACTCAGCAATATGAGTAGCTCATCAGGTACGCCACGCCGGGGATCCTCGATGCATTATCACTAATGTCATTTTTGTCGTATGACAGACGTATGACATGATCAGAAGTGCTTGTTATACCAATAATTATGACCTATAAATGTATATTACTGGCACCATATTATAACAAGGGTTCTGTGATCCTTGGCATTCAAGCAAAGTCTGCTTGAAATGAAGCTTGACTTGTGAAATTTTTTTCAGCAATTGTCATGAAGTTAACATCTTTGATTCACTCTTTCAGAAAGTTCAGAACATATTTTTTGGCTATGTACATACATCAGATATCTTATATAGCAAACCGTGTTATACAAAGAACTACCTATATATCTGCAGATTGTTTATGTCAAAATTCATCTCTTATGCTATTTTTGTATGTTATACTCAGAATCTTGGTCATTTAAGTGACACCGTTGGCTACATTGTAAGCATCAATAAGTGTGTACCAACTCTGTAGATTGAAGACAAATAATTAGTTCATTAAAGATTGACAACTGAGTGCAGATATTTTGTATCAGATAATATATGTTTTTGTTTTGTGTATTTTCAGGTTGAGCTATAAGATACTGGGTAATACTTATATAGACTGTACTGACTAAACTGTGTATAATACTAACCCTACCACTGTTTGGTGTTTTAGATAACGAATCCGACCTATGGTAGAATACAGGTAAAGCGTTCGGTGATTTCGGGTATATCTTCTCTACATCCCAATACACACCCATATAAAGGCAATATTCCATACACTTTACTATTCATTTCTTATGGGACCAGTGCTGGAGACGATTTCTTTTGGTTTCAGGTCAATGTCGTGTAAAATACATAAATTTCCATCATTTTACGTTTTCTTTTCAAGTATTCTGGAAGCAAATTCTTTGTTGTATAGTTTAATTTGATAAGATAGTATTGAAGGTAATTCCATGTTATCATTACTATCCTTAAAACACATCTTCTTTGTATTGTACATCATAACAATGTGAATGCCACAGGTACATCATGTGGATATTTGGTTGAATATCAGAAATATTTTCCATGTTGCCTTTGAAAATTACTTTATTAGCCAATTTTTCTCCAAAACTGATCTTCCCTGATCCTTATATACAAGTAGACTACTGGTGAAAGCTGGGTTTTTTTTTTTTTTTTTTTTGGTTCACTTTTTATCTAGGTACATGCATTATTGGGTTTTAGGTAAAAGAAAAAATGTCTGTACAGTGGAAATATTGGCTGTATATAACAACCTATACTGGTGATGGCTGGAACTGAAATATATAATCAAAAAAATATCAAAAAATAGCACAGATACAATATTTACTATTAGCCTACACTTTTTATCTGGTCTGGTATATTGTTAAGGAATATGAACTTTTACATGAAAAATGGTGAAGATTAATACTTTTTATAATTATTAACTTGCCTTTCTTCATTTTTGGTGGAGGGGAAGGGGGTTGATAATGCACAGTTTTAGTCTGTCAATGAGAAAACGCTGAACTTATTACCAGAAGTTACACACAACTGATATGGCTATTTCTGTGGGTGTGATCATGATTATAACTTTATGTAGTTGATACAAGGACTTAACAGCCTTGCTTATAAACATGTCAGCCATAAGATTGAAACAGGGTCTTACAATATCTTACAAGATAAATATTTCAAGATAAAGTAAAGATGGATGTTATACTGATGATTATGTCTGCAAAACAGGTTTAAGATATCACTACAACATCTGAAGATATTACACATACGCCAGTCACTGATTTTATAAAATTTGTAGATTTTTATCTAAAAATGTTAGAATTCTTATTGAAAAATCACATTTAACACCCTTTGTTACTAAGTATGTCTTCAGAGAACTGTTTTATTTAATGATAAGATCAAATGAAACTGCATTTATTTTATAATTTTGAACACACCCACTAGAGACGATCAAAGTTTAGCTTTGAAAAAGAGCCGGTTTAACAAGCTTCGCTTCTATCCGACTATTGTGGCTGTCTTGCACATTGTGGATTTGGCTAATAATGATGTAGTTAACCTGTGTGCTTCATATCACTAGATACAGTGCATGTTTGGTTTGTGGTAGATATTAGTAAAAATGATGGTTTGTTCTGTAAGTCAGTGTGAACCAGCTAAATGGACAAATCTAACATTCGTGAAATCTCAAGTCGACCATCTCGGATGAAAACGCAAACCTGCTGACCTTGACCAGTGTGTTGTGGTATTATGGGATGTAACGGAGGATAACGAGTGGAAAAAATATGCCAAACAAGTCTACAGTGCCATGATTATAAACCTGTATAAATGATATAAACAGTATGTTTGGTATCTCGATGTTTGATTCAGAATTATATATATATTCATCAAGGACAGAAGTCAAATTACACTGACCATTTTAAGTGCAGAGGCAGATATTGTTAAGAAATTCAATACTCAGGTATAAGCATATCATCTGTGGCGTCTCTCCTAGCAGAGCTGTCAGGGAAAGAAGTATAGATGTATAAGGTGCCATGTTTATCCTGTCATAAGCCTTGGGGTCCAACATTGGACTCAAAAGTATAGAAATAGGCATATTGCCAAGCTAATGCGTAACCTGTGAAGGAAGGGGACGGACATACACAGCAATTCTACACATGTATTCTACTGAAACTGAGATATATGGATGGGCTGATAACCAGATACAGGCTTACTGTTGGATAAACATGTGGAATATGTATTGAAATATTATAACGTTTCAAAATGTTGGTGTGGGACCAAAAGCAAATGACATTAACATTTCTGTAAAGAAAAAGATTCACGGTTCATTAAATTTGTCTGAAGAGCATCTCAATTCATCATCCCATGAAATCGACTCAAGCAAGATTCAATGCTTAAATGGTTGACATTTCCGTAAAGAAGACCATGTTAGTCAGTTATACAGATTTATACCAGAAATGATATTATCATTAAAAGCTTTTTATTGAAATATTTTGCTACTTCAACATTTAAAAGGAAGCTATGGTTGTAATATCCATGAGTATGTATCCACAGCCTGAGATATATATAACAGCCCATACATATTTTAGAGTGAATCTCCTTATCCTCTATATTCTAGGACAAGACAGGTGGTCTTTGGTACAATTTATTATTGTGTAGGCACAGTGTAAACATTGGGAGAACAGAACATATATTTCATTTTTCTTTTTCTCATCAGAAATGGAAAGAAGTTGTTTGCAACATATCAATATTATAAATTCATGATAACAGTTAAAAAGAAATCAGTTTTTTCGACACAAAAATTGCAACACAGCATCACACTTAGGTGAATATGAGAGTGTGTTGGTTCTGGGATATTTGTCTGTGATGACTGTACACTAGTCAGAAATACACGAGGACATTTACTCAGTGATATGTTACCTAGCAATGGATCCTTGTTAATCTCGACACTTTGAGAAATATTAACTTTCTGTGAATATTACTGTTTAAATTAACAAGGTTCTGTTTAATTATTGCTTATTAAATTATTATGAATTGTTTACATATATGCATTTATCCACATCATTGCCATAGTAAGGATATTATGTTATAAGGTTATGTGCTGAAATAGTTGCCTTGTAGTATACAACTGAAATATTGTTTTATATTAGAAATGTACAATATTACTGTCTCACTAGTTTGTTGAAACATGTGCTTGTTAAAATGTCTTGTAGTAAGGCTGTTTGATGAAAATTAAGGGACCAGCATGGGTTTGAATTTGATTAACATTTCGTAATGATTTTCAGTGTGAAACTTAAAAGTTTGAACTTACTGCTAAGTTACAACATGTATTCACAATTTCTGAGGATACAGTTAATCATGAATAATATTACTGGACCTGAGTATTCAGCGAGTGACTGAAATTCCATTTTGACATGTAAGTTTGAAGATGTACTATCTTTTGGAAATATTGCATCATTTCTCTGTTCTCATATAGGAATGATTGCCAATGTCACATTTCGATATTTTATGGACAAATTGTTTTGTTATTTTCTTACGCAATTTTTTTATTTTAAGTTTGCTAAACTGTGAAATCCACATTTGATATTCATCTGCTATATACAATATGCATTTTTGCTGTTTGTGATAGCTGGAATAACAAGTATTAGAATACCATGTAGATATGTATTTTATAAATTGGGTAATTGTGACTTGAATGCCGTAATGCTTCTTATTGGTAGCTTTTACATGGTTAGCCTTAAATCATACGATATGATCGTGTATCTTAATCTTCGATAATCGACATTATTAACGGTATGCTTATTGCAAAGGTTAATGTTTCATTTAAGAAATATTCAAACCAATTAAAATAAAATCATGCATGACAAATGTTTGATTTTTCAACCTTTAATTAAGATTATTCTGATTAAAATTTTTTAAATGATGTCACCATGGTTTTTTGTGTTCAAATCATTGGAATATTTACCATAATTGATTTGAACAAGTATATGCAATGATATATCTGTGTGTATGTAAGTATGTAAATATGTTAATATAAGTAGACTGAGGGATGGATGAGTCAACCATTTCATTTATTCATGTTCTTTAAAGTAAATATGTTATTATTCCTAATAAAAGGGAACAATTCAGAATATAAAATAAATTATTTTGATATCAAAATATTGTTCTGTTATTGTGTTAAATTTCAGTATTGAAGTTAGATGCAGGTGAACATTATAAGGAATATTTATGAAGGGCGATATGTGTAAGGGGAAACATTTGCTTCACTTTACTTTCTCCTGTTTTACCCTTTTACGAATAGGGCAAAAATAAAAAGTAAGTAAAAAGTTGATGTTAAAATTAATTTCTTTTTTTCATCTATTTGAGGTTGAACTTGTTTTATGTGAGGGCCAAAAAAAACAAAAGTTGTACAAATGTTTCTCCATACACACTATCCAGTAAAGGTATTTTTAGTTCACTATCATCAGATGGTGAGCTGTTCAGATTGCCTTTCATTAGTCCTTCAACAATTCTAGCTATTGTTATTTCTGAAGAAGTGCTGGATCAAAGTATAGGTACCAACACTCGCCTCACATTTCCAGACTGATTTGGAAAAAAAAATGTCAGATAGGCAGTCATCTTGGATTTGAAAGAGCAAACATTTTACAATATTTCTGGAGAAGCACTGGATGGATCATTCTCAAATTTCATATATTAGCTCTTGTTGGGTCTTTGCGATGCCCGCTTAATTTTCAGACAGATGAAAATAAATAAAACTGTGGAAAAGTTGCCATCTCGGAGTTTAAAAGTTATTATTAGTTATTCCTATTAGCTAATACGAAGGTAGCAGAGAAAAGACACAAGGAACCGATAAAGATCTTACACTGTACCTTGATGATAGCCAGTTTTCCTCTGGAATGTGGTCATCTGCCTACCTATTCCATGGTCTGGTGTATTTGAGCACAATATAAAAACTCCTTGACATATAATTAAAAAAATTTGTCATTATATACAGCTTTATCAAAGTCGGCTGAAAGCCATTCAAAAATTATTGTCTGTGATATTGCTACAAGCTCTTTCTCAGCACCATGAGGAGCATACAACCAGAGCTGCCATTTCAGCACTAATATAGCCTGTGTAGCATGGTATTGTGAAGCATGGGGAAATGAACTGAGTCAAAATACCATTCTGGTGAAATCCCAGGCTCTTAGTATTAGGTTATGACCAGTATGACAATAGCAGGTGAAAATGTCATCTGGTCTGGCACTCCTATTTTTATCACTACATTTTAGCTGAATAAGGTGTTATCATGGAAATATCTTTTGTTGTAATTCATTGACCCTGTTTCCTGTATCACTAGTGTAGTGGCAATATTTGACAAACTCCTTCTCCATCTTTGTGCTTATAGTAGCTAAAAATAGAAAATGGACTGATTTGTTTCATGAACACCAAAACATGTTTGCCAGGATATTCAATTGGGATCCATCAATCTACCAGCAATTTCAGGGGGCACACCTTAGAAACTGTTACACAGCTCTACAAAACTTTTGCCACCTGTCAAGCCATTTCTAAGAGAGAAAGTTTCATTTAACAAAAAAAATGTTGTTACCATGAAATAACTTTCCAAAAATGCCATGTTTGATGTTCCTAGCTTTTGGGACTTCAACTCAAAAGATGTTTGACATAATTGGAGAGTTTTTATTAACAATGCAGGGCAGTGCCATGGGACATAACACAATAGAATGGTGTATCTATAGGAGCCAAAAGGGTTCGGACAAAATCTTCCAGAAAAAAAAGAACGTTAAGAAAATACCAACATTGAAACATAATCATGATTAAGCTCAAATTCCATAAAGCTAGGATAAAGTATGAACAGAAAATAGATTTACATGGAGACTCATGAAAAAGTACTATGAGAATAAGACCATGTGTTCCGGAAGAGTAAGTGTCTTCTGCTTCATCGTCGACACCCGCCACGTAAATCTTGGTCAATCCAAGTAAGTAATGTCACATTCTCAAATGAGAACAAGGTATACAACAAGGGAACCAACAGGCAAACTAACGAGAATCAAACTAGTCTAGTTTCATATCACACAAAGAAATAGAAGATTTCTCAATGAAATCACTATGGCGACCATAAAACCATCAGATTGATTTAATCGTTAATTTATTGCTGGTATAAAGAAAATGTCTTTGCTGTGAGAATTTTCACTACACTACAAGTAAACTTAACATTTAGTTACCAATCACATGAGAGTATGAAATCGTACGATCGGGAACAAAAATCTGTAAACCCTGAAAGTTATTTGATCCGAGTTTTAGTAAGGTTTACCATGTTAGCTCAGCTACATAAAGACTCTATATCTAAGTTACATAACAAGGTGTACCCGTAACAGAGACGGTAAGCCGAATGCAGAACATCAAAAGGGACAAAGGATAGAACCTTGAGTGTTTTATTAAAACCGTGATCAGAAGAAAAATACCGAGCCAGGGATAGGGTGTACCTGTCAACGAGATTATGTAATATGTTACGTATTACGTGGTAATGAAGACTACTCAAATGAAGATGATGTGACAATATGTCCGATCACTCAGCAATATATACTGAACTCTAATAGATCTCCCTCTCTCTCTCTCTCTCTCTCTCTCTCTCTCTCTCTCTCTCTCTCTCTCTCTCTCTCTCTCCGTGTAATTTTGTATTTAAACATGTTTTTGTCTGGTACTTACTTGGTTGGTGTGGTAGGAATACAAATATTATAGTCTTAACAACTTTAACCTGTCCGACCACGTGGGTTTTCCGCGGGTACTCAGGTCTCCGCCTGCAGTAAGACCCCTCGGCGTGCGCTTACGTCCGAGCCAACAAGAGTGAATTATATAAATTGCTATAACTTGTTTCGTAATTGTTGTTAAAAATATTATATTATAGACATTAGTTCAATCAGCTTAAAACCATCCTTGCACTTCCAGCGTTACGTTTACTTCCTGTCTCTTCTGAGAGTGTTGTATTGAACACCTCTGGTTCATTAAGAGAGCTTAAAACTGGCATGCTCAGATCAAATATCACATATTTGTAAATACTAGGAATAATAATACAAGCTCAAAGTCTACATCAAAAAAACAAACCTCTAGTCGTGATGTTCACTGTTACCCTGTTCAATTTGTCGCTTTGTCATTTGTAACGTTCTCGGTTGCCAATTCGGCTTGCTTTATAGCTGAACACACGGTTGCAGTTCTAAAGTTTGAATGAAATTTCAAATGAGCAAAAAGTATGACCTTAAGAATATCAAAATCCATCTCTGGGGATGGTGTTGTCAAGGACGAAATAGGCTTTCTCGGCAGGTACAGTGTTCGAATTTTAAAGTTTTAAAAAAATATGTAATATATACTTAAGACACACAAGTATAAAGTAAATAGTACCTTTCAATACTTTCTTATAGAGCACGTTTATCGAATAACAAATGGTCCTTCCTACTCGGCCTCATAAGTGAAGAACAAAAATAAAAATAAAATTTAGGGACCTAAAATGTTGAAATCTAGACGACGAATCGTCCAGGAATGATAGACTCGTAATTCAAAACTGTTCTTAAATTTTTTAATATTAATTAGTTTTAAAAGAATGCTATGTTCATGTGTGTCCTAAACTGTACTAAACGTTTATAAGAATTTCGACACGGTAAGTTTGCTTACAGCAGTCCTTGGAAAGAACAGAGCATTCCATCCAGAATCGATCAGGGAATTTGCCCATGTGTGTCCTAAACTGTACCATACGTTTGTAAGAATTGCCAACATTGTACAGTTTGGTCAAGTTACGACAGTCCTCTGGGACTAGGAGGACCAACAAAGCATTCCACCCACCCCTCTATACTAAAGAGTAGACGGGGTGCATAAATTACATAAAATAATAGAATTATATGAAATCAGCTATCCTATCTTCAAATCTATTTCTTGAAAATGTCCATGATTTGGACTGCGTTGCTGATAAATTCACATTGTCATCGAACAATACTTGCGTAAAAACACGACCTGGCCATTTTTTTCTGCTGATGCAATTTTATAATATAAGTTGGACACGGCCTTAAAACTTTACCAAAATACACAAATAAATATAAACTGCTTTTAGGTCATGCTGACTGTTAAATTACAACATTAAAAAAACATTCCTTAAAAAACTAAAGAAAAAAAATCCGAAATCCTAGCAATAATAGTAGCTGTATTATGGGTATTCTTTTGAAAAGAAAATAATATGTGCTTTACAAATTAGTCTTGCGGAAATGAAATCGGATATTTTTAGTGAGCATATTTGACAATGAAGATAATCCAATCATATCTGGATTTCGAAAATGTCATATTCGAAAAGTATTCTTTTTAGCTCGTTACAGTTAGGTTATAAATACCAGTTTACAAAAAACTTTTGTGAGAAACAGTTCAAGGGAATATGGTATACATGCACACCAACTCCAGGAAATATCAGAACAACTGATAGAACTGTTTTTCTCAAATGGTGCAACGCTAAGCTTGGGCACATACTAAGTTTGCTTTTATAGATATTTTTTTCTCTTTATTTTCAACTTGAAAAGGTTGTTTTATGAAATCAAGAGTCACGTCGACATTTTTATAATGCGTTTTGTTTTATAACATCAGAATTTTCACCGAAGTTGATTTTCCGAAGTTACGTCAAATTTTGTGTTTGTGAGCCACAGATCTTGTTTCTAGGTTTCTTTTGTAGATATAGAATCCTATATACCAAGAGGAATCTCACAGGCTTATTTTTTATATACTTTCGTAAGTCTGTACTCTTATTGTGACATTTCGGTGTTGTGTAAAGTTATATAACCAGTCAAAATGATATGTGTTGCAAATAATTCAATTCGTATAGTATGGCAATAGCATGTAGCAAACCACCCTCGATACTCCAGGAGTTACGATCACTACATCCTCGATACTCCAGGAGTAACGACACTTCATCCTCAATAATCCAGGGGTTACGATCACTACATCCTCGATATTCCATGAGTTACAACACTACATCCTCAATACTCCAGGGGTTACGATCACTACACCCTCGATACTCCATGAGTTACGACACTACATCCTCGATACTCCGGGAGTTATGATCACTACACCCTCCATACTCCATGAGTTACGACACTACATCATTGATACTCCGGGAGTTACGATCA